AGGAATACTTAGCCCACTTACTGAAATCGTGCGAGACTCGTTGCCGGGTAGCCTAGCCCTTGCAACTCCTTTCCCGGCTAACTCGCCACCTCCCGCTCCACTCAGTGCGAGTTCAGTATTGATAAGTAGCTCTGGCGCACTCGCTATCTAGCTCTAGTACCCTGGTAACTCGAAGATCATCGAATCTTTTCGCGGCGATACCCCTTATGAGGGAACTTCTGATATCGAGGCCCGCTACGACTCTATGCACGACATAGCCTCTAATATAACGTAGCTTGAGTAAGTAGCCACTTTAATAGGCTTCCTATGTTTTCTCTAGATCCTGGTGGGACTTTCTGATACTATGTGCTGTTACATGGAGGACGCTACGGCTATATGTAAGGAATGCCTCGGACGGAAGGAGACCTGCTACCACATTGCCGGGAATTTATATGGCCAGGTTCTTCGAGCTTTACACGCATAGAACGCCCCGACCTCGCTAGATATGAAAGAAAAACCATATGTATAGGGTAAAGGTAAGGATCCCGTATCCCCCGTATAGCCTCCTAGAGACAAAGACCACGAGACTACGCCCCTAGTGGAGACCTTACTATATTGGGGCAGCGTATAAGGATAGTTATCGGGCTATACTTGGAAAGGCGTTTCCCGTCATCGATTAGGAAATGGGGCTGGGTAACGGCTAAGAGAGTTCGTAGTCATTAGTATAAAGCCCTTGAACCCTGAGAGTCGCAGCTGTCGAGATCCCAATTCTCTTTGACTAGATGAGCTCTTCTTGGTTATGAGTTAATGGCGTCGTGGGAGCATGGCTAGTCCTAAGGGCTATAGATATGAGGAATGGCCTTAAGAATTTTCATTGGCTTAAGTGAAGCCTCGCCTGTATGGCTACTTATGTACTGTGATGATGCTAGTGTCTAGTCCGCTCCCGGGCTGACGTCCGCCGCTGTTAGTCCTAGGGTATATAAAGGCCTCCTTCCCCTAGCTGTTCTTGTTCCCTTATGTGCTTATTCCTTCTCGTCGAATTGCACCGACTTCCCCCTCCTAAGTAACGACTATCAGCGGTATAATGGTAAGTCCCTCCGATATAATTATTATAGGCGATGAAGAAGGATCACTAACGCCTGAGTTAGGTCGCTTACGGCTGCGATAGGGTCCTCGCCGTGATTATAGCTACCCTGATTTTGAGAGTATGGTCTTCGGTAATGACGGGAATGAACGCTTACGTAAACGCAAAGGAGCAGAAACGGAGGAATCCTCTAATCTGGTTCGAGATCTTCGTGATAACTCTTTTTCCTTAGCTGACAGAGGAGTAAGGAATATGCTTTTAAGAAGCTTCGAAAAGCGGTTGACCGTGAACTTTAAGAATTACGAACAACTAATATAATACTCCGGGAAGATCTTCGTTTAGAGAGAGATAGACTCTAGAAGACGAAAGAGGAACTTGTATAGCTGAAAAGGTTGGAGTGTAAGATTTGTTACTTGTAGCTAGATCGTTGGGTATCTTTGCTATGTGGCTATATGGTTTGCAAGTCATGTGTAGAACGTCTTGGTATACTAAGGAAATGTCCTCTGTGTAGGGCAACCTCTACGGGGTATATCGAATGTTACCCGTTTGTAGGATAAAACGTTTACATTATTTGCTATTTAGTGGTCGAATAATTAGGCTCTATGTGATAATTCTAGTCCTGCTACTACGTGCTATACGCTATTAAATCCTGTTCTATATCTTAAATTTATTTGACCTGGTGCAAATTATTTTGTGTATTGCAACTATTGGAAAACTAAGTTTTAGTTATGAACTAGAAATCTTAAGGCCTCTTATGGCCCGTAGCTAACCCTTGCCGCCTTCGGTTGCCTAAGAGCGGAAGATAATTCTTGTTATTTAAACTTCAATCTCTCCTACTAACGGCACTGTGAATATGGGTCCGATCTGATGTTTCCCGGAAATGCAACATTAATGATTTTCTTAATATACTGCGGATATAAACTGACACTAGATCCGTAGCCTTTATTGTTGACTTTAACGTTATGAAAGTATAGTGTCCGGATAGATCTGGCGTTTGTTCTAAGAAAGTCCGTCAGAAATTTGTGAGCCATAGACATTGAACACAGTTCGAGTTTGTGAATGCCTAGTGCGATATTAGCCAAAGATTCGACGGCTGATTCGCTCTAGAGTAGCCGTAGCTTCGGGACATGCTTTAGCAGATCGGTAAGAGACGCGGTTAAATAATGTATATCTCGAACCCGTCGGGGTCTAGAATGGCAAAGTGCTAGACCAATTAATTGGATGGCTTGAAGAGAGGTGCTGTGGCCTTGTGTGATATTTATAGCAGCTGAGATGCGATGGATATGGTGCTTATAAGGCCTTTCTTTGATGGTTATACGCTAAATAACAGACTCTACCTAATCCTCCCCCTCTAGAGTTTCGCAAAATTTCAAACTTAACTCCTTTAATCTTAGAAGCCTTTGGAGAATAAGTGAGAGTAGGGCAGAGTCCCTTCCTGTCTCTATAATACACCTTTGTTTAGCACACACTTGTCGTATTTTCCTATAGAGACACAGATACGAGGGATAGTTGTCCCCTAGGCCTTCTGAATTGCTGTAGTTATCCCAGTTTTCGCACTCTTTAAGATAGTCCTCGATAGGGAAAACTCGAGATCTGAATTTCTGAAAGTTAAGTATTTCTAGACGCGTGTTAGTATTCTGAATTAGACTAGTCATTGTGGTTGTTGTCACTAGGATTGAGTAGCTCCGGCACGACGTATTGTATAGAAATAATATAATAAGTGACTGGCGAGTTTAGAACTTCTTTAAGCCTATTAAGGCCTCTTTTGGAAAATGTAAATCGGAAGTTCCGAAATAGAAACGGGTGCGAGATATCTCTCATTCTCTTGTTGATAGAAGAGAAACGTTTGATTTTAGGCTTGCTAAGATGTTTAACGATGATGTTGAGAATTTCAGTCGGAAGGTTCTCTAGGGAGGTAATTTGTAAATCCATCATTCTGGATGATGAAGGCTGTTTTCCGTATTCTTCTGAAGAATATATCAATGCGCTACGACGACTTCTTAAATAGAGCGAGAGTAGCACGTGATAAGGAATTGACGAGCTAGAGCATTTCTAGCTAGTTAAGGGGAATCGTGAACTTTAGTGAGCAATTAGGCATCAAAGTATGTTTTTGGGGGGGTAATTTGGAGGTGTAGGCGAGTGACTCGCTGGAGTTTAAGCTAGTTTGCTAAAATTGGATCCCTAGTTTATGGGCGGCTCGCTAATGAGGGGCATAATTCTTGGCGACTTGCCGTGGGCTTGAACACCAAATTATAGGCAACATTTATAGATGACCTTTTTCCTAGAAAACGCTCCACACAATTAACTTCTCTGTCTGGTTTCCGGTCTGTACTGATTATGCATCTAAGTATCATTGCTCTTATTTGCTTAGTAGGCGCTGCGATTTCTACAGAAATTGTTAATATACTATTACCGGGTTTCTAAGGCCGTGATTTGTAAGTAAGCATCTTAGAAGAAGCAAGGCACACCTTTATGCACTAGGTTTTGATGTTACTAACATATTCTCTAGTCTAGAGAAGCCACCATATATCTGATAACCTGTCTACAGAGGGAAGATGCCTCTGATTGCGGTATTCTTGGAGATGGATTGACTGCAATTTTGTCCCCCACTTCTATCTAAGTTATTGATGTCGACAGAGAAGCAAAGTACGCATCTCAATGTCTAAAGATTTGCAATTATTAGCTGATGCCTTGTTTTAGTACGGCCATCGTATCTTGCGATATTTCAGGGACCTCGTACGCCTTTTGCTATGCGAAGGAAACTATTTCTGTGCAGGGGACTCTGGCTGCGAAAGACCTAAACTGGATGGATATTCCTGTAACTGACATGCCACCACTATCGACTCCAACACAAGAACCTTCCAATGCAGAGGGTATACTGGCGGATGTGGAACATCCGCCTCTACAACAACCAAATAGCGCTGCATCATCGGCTAAGTGGACTTGGGTTATGTACAGTTTTTTGGTTCTGCTGGGGTATTTTATTAAGTCATATCATCTTTTTTTGGTTAATGATCGCAGCAATATCTATCTTGCAGTTTAATTGGGGTGGGGGGGGGGCATTTTTTGTGAGAGAGGAGATAGCTCTAAATTATTATAGTATAAATTGAGCTAGACACAAGATAAAGTAAGCATATTGGGCTTAGTCAAGATTCTTTAGGCGGCAAATGACCAACTAATAAAAGGCTCAATGGAAGTAGTATAGTGGCGCCCGATATTGCCTTCCATATCCGGGTACACAGAGTTGTTGTTTGAAACCCTAATCACATGATAAGCTAAACCTTTCATGGCTAAGCCCGTATTAAAAATTTTGTTCCAGATTTGCATGGTAACAAGGATGAAAATATAAAACTGTATAATTATGTATGTACAATTTCCAAAATATCCATATGCAAAAACAACCCCTATTCCCAAAAATAACCACCCCACCCACAATGGCGCCGTTCGTTCACACTCCTCCTAACCTAGTAACTGCTGTCACCCAAACCACTTACAAAATGGCTAGAAACGTGGATTCCTCGCAGCATAAGATGATTACTCATATAATATATAGCAAGAACAGACTCATTGTATCGTAAATGGGAAAGGTAGCTCAGTGTAGTGAGCGCCCTACAGTGGGCCTCTCTTTTTGTTCGTCGTACAGTGGTGCCGGTTAATGTTCTTATGTCTAAGTACTAAAGATCATGATGACCAGATGACTCCATACAAACGGATTAAACTAAAGGATCGTTAGCAATCTGTAAACTCTCCTCCCTGCTTCAACTGCAGAGGGTCTGGTGCTGGGGGTTCATCTCGAGTCAGATTGATAGGCAAGACTCAACAGCACGATCGCTAATGCCGTCAGAATGGGCAGGCGGTGAATGTGGCTCAGATTTGCTTTATATTATTGGTCCAACACATCAATGCATACGCGCCTTCATGGCACAGTGAATCAGCCCCGCCGATGAGCCTTCCAGTCTTTTTAACCAAATCAACAAAAGCAAAGCCTCTCAAACTTTTCTTTCATCCTTTACCTTTATTTGTTTCTATTCATTCAAGATTGAATACCAAGCTTTCGTGGCAGACGACATTCTAATCAAACACATGTCTTTCGGCTTCTCCGTGGGAGACTTTCTCGCGGGCGCAAATTTAGCTTATAGGCTCATACGCGCCTTGTCGGAGTCTCGAGGTTCAAATATGGAATATCAGGAAGTCATCCAGGAGCTTGGTTGCATCCAGCACACATTCCTACACGTCGAACTCATCAGCTCTAGAAAGGTCTTCAGCCAAGCGACCATAAACGCGATTGCACATATACTGGGCTCATCGATGGAAGTAATGGAGAGGTTCCTTCAACAGACCGAAAAATATCGAAAGAGTCTCTCCAGGAATGGTGGACGGTCTCTGGCAGCGGACAGTTGGAGAAAAATTGGATGGAGCTTATTCCAAAAGGAAGAACTGATCAGCCTTAGAAGTACTTTACAGACACGCCTCACAGCAGTCAATATTTTAGTGTCCGCAGCCAACAGGCAAGTAGTACAAAGACCCTTCTGTACGAAGCAGCCGAACTAACTAGTGATAAAGTCAAAACTACTATATCACACCACAAGCAGTTGGGAAGTTTCAGACAAGCAGTTTCGAGACCCGGTCATGTCAGGCACTATCGCATGTCTCGTCCGAAGCAACCACCGCGGTTGCTGGTGACTCTTCTGGAGATTACGGGGCTGAAATGTACGCCAAGGTAGAAGATCAAAGTCTGGTGCACAACCCTTCCGAGTGGCAAAGGGATGAGGCGTATACGAAAGTCGAAGATCAAACGCATGCAAACATTTCTTCAGAGGAGCACCAAGATGAGATAAGCACTGAAGTCGTTGAGGCCCCATCATACCAGAGATTGTCAAATGCCTCGTGCAAAACCACCATCACCGCCATCGGTAACCCTTCCGGAGGGCAAAGGGATGAAGTATATAACAAAACCAAATATCAAAATCAGGGGCACATGCAGCGAGAAGCTATTCTTGAAAATGCTCCACATATCAAGGAAGCAAAGGATTATTTGGGGGGCGAGAGCGGCGAGAATGGAGAGTACCTTCGACGCAAATTGGCTGAGCTAGAGGCAGTCCAAGTGCTGGCAAAGCTGGGGATGCTCCAAGCGCATCCTTCTTCCCAGCTCCCTGGCATTCTCCACGCTACGACTGTCTCAAATGAGAAAAAAAAGCCAATCAAGTTCAAAGACGCTGTTGGTCGGAAATTTAGTTTCCCATTTGAGCTCGGTTGTACCTGGCAGGTAAGTCGCAACAGTAACCTCGAGCATATATATAGCTAGCTTACTCGTTGACCTCGACATTTAATACAGGGAATGGAGGATCTTATCAACCAGGCATTTCTTCACGTTGAAGTAATTGGTCCACATGTGGCCAAAGGGCATTACGATCTAGTTGGACCAAATGGTGAAATTATCCTTCCTCAAGTCTGGGATAGTGTTATTGAGCCAGACTGGACGGTGACAATGCATATGTGGCCAATACCAGAAGCACCGAAGGAACCAGATATTCTGCCCCCCGACACGATCTGAAAGGAAGAGGCTCAGAATGCGTCGATAGATCTATGGCAATATCTGCTAAGCCGTTACTATTATGCCTTGCCTATCAACTTTGACCCGATATGGACACCCAGGGCAGCGCCAATCCCTGCAGTGAAACAACTGAAGGAGGAGAAAGAGTTAACATTTGCCAACACCCGCCTAGTTTGCTAAGTTTGCATGGAACCATCTAGTTAGGGAAGCCTTCATGATTAACTGCAGTCCGTAAAAATCATAGGGAATCATGAAGCAGTGTCAGAGTTCTAGTGTTTACTTAAGCTTCTCCGAGACCGACTTTATAACGCGGTAAGTGTCCGTCAAGATAGAATTAATTCTCTTCCAGTCAGCTATTTTATTTAGCTGTAACAGAAGGCATTGGAGCCTATTTAAGATCCTGCTATTAATAGCAGGAGTATCAAATGTCTTATCTTCCATATTATCCAGGTAGATAAACCATGACTTCGTCGGCGTTATTATAGTCATCACAATTATCCGCTAGGATCGGATATTAGTTACCAGTACTACGTATAGTTATGACGCGTAATTTACGCGATTCCATTTTAGGCTTATCACATCACGTGATTAGGGTTTGAAAGAGCATCTGTCTGTCTCTAGATATGGAAGGCAATAACGGGCGGCACTGTACCAATATTTCAAGCTCTCCTAATTAAAAAGGGCAAAGAGTGAAATTCGATTCTATTAATTTACTACGGGACACTGCTAGCTAGATCACTTTATCCTTGTTTCCAGTCATAAAAAAGCTCTGTCGTCCTAATCATCGCCTCAACAGCCTCCTTGCAGCTACATTGCAATAAAAGCTAGTGCAAAAGCTAATGCAATGGAAGCCAGCTTCTCATTGTTTCTCACGACTGAACCTCCGCTAAAACTTCCGGTAGAAGCTGGGGCCATACCACTCGTTGTGTATGTAATTGGCAGCAAGGAAGTTGTTTCTTCAACAGGAAATTCCGAAGAGGACTTGGATGCTGATGTAGTTGCGAAGGGTGCCGACATTCCCTCCGAATGGGGTGAAGCCCGGGTTACGGTCGTGGTTTTTTGATATGAAGGCCTAGAAGGCGATGGAGTAGGGATTGAATTCACCAAATAAGTTGGTGAGATCAGGGAGGACATCTTTTTGCTGAACTGAATTCCCGTTGTGCTAAGACCGATTAAAGGGACTGCAGTGCTACTTTGCGGTCGAGATTTGGCCGAGCTGGATCCTCTGGGTATGGTTAAAGAAACTGGACCTTCGGGTGTAATAGTGAGAGTGATATCGGAAATAACATAAGGGAGCGTAGTGAGCCAGACAAGAAGAGTAACTGGAAGATATATATTGACTCGGAGGGATATGGAAATAAAGAAGGCGACGACTCCATTCTTTTTATTAAGTCCCCAACCTTTATAAATTAGTATTTGCACTTTCACGAATTCGATTTTGTACCTTTTAATCTTTCTGTCTTGTTGAAATATCTTTACTGTAGTAGTTTTTAAAAAAGAAAGATACTGAGCCTGAGATGGGCGGAACGCCTATAAGGCGAGGGCGTACGGGTCCTCGAGGGTGGAGAAAGCCAAGCTAATTGAAGTAAAATCAGAACAGCGGCGAGCCGCCCATAAATTCCTCTGAAGCGAAAATAACTCCTTTCGCTGTATGTATTTTAATTGAGTATAAGTCCTAATTAGGCAACATGCGTTATCTTTTATACATAATACAAATAATCGCGCTGGCCTTATTCCTTATTCTCGTTGAACATTGACCGGAATATGTCCACTCCTGTAAATAAGAAACGTGCCCTTGAACGAAAAAGATGCCGGGAAGTCCTATTAAATCATCTAGGTAAGCTGCCTCGATCAAGTATCGACTATAATCATCTAATTTTAAGAAAGAGCAATTAGGAGTCTACGTACATCCATTAGAAGTGCGCCTTTATCCGCTCGAGAAAGATCGATATCGATGGGTTTTCCGTGATAATAACAACCACCTCTTTGAGAAACACCTAAGTGACATATCTACTAATCATTACATTGAACTCTGTGACGAAATCAGGAAGGGTAATATTAGAGGCGCTTTAATTGAGGGGCCTGCGATAATGGGGGAAGAGATAAGTGAAGATTTTCGGCCGCAAAAACTAGAGTAAGATCTTCAAGAGATGAAGAAAAAGAATGAACGGCTATAAGAGGCAGTTAACGATTTAAAGATTCGAGAAGCTAGTCTACGTATGCATAATCGCCGGCTACGGAAACTACTCTCACTTCTCGTTGGAAAAGCAACATCTTTTAATTAAACCGTTATGGAGGGTGAAGCTCAGATTCAAAGAGCGCTAAATACTATGAGTAGTCTGAACAAAACAACACAGCGTTGGGGAAAATTAGAATTATTGCTAAGCCGGAATGAGTAGATGTTTATCTCTATTTACAAAATTGAATGATCCTTGCCACTCGTATTATCTAGTATAATACCAAAGGCCTTGAGAAGCCGATCCTTAGAAGACGATAATCGCTAGGATGCTTTCTGTAGGCTCTGTTGAATTAAATAACCAGCATCCTAGGTATTGTAAGCGAGCTCCAGAAATGCAGGCTCTCCGTTGTAATGTGAAGAAGCTTTCTGAAGAGTATCTCGAAGAAGCCGATAAACCTCTCTGGTTTCGCTAAAAAGAGGCATAAGTGCTTGCTTTACATCTTGATGGAAAGCGACCTCTTCTCGAAGGCGTCTAATCACACGTTGAAGTTCCTCGAAAGTTGGAGGTTGCTTATATTTTGATTTCTGGAGATAAATTGGAAGCCGTTCCGTGTTGTTGGTCTTTCCCCTATACTGTAAGATAATATGATCTAGCCGAGTGAGCTTAGTACGTTGGGAATTAGTCGAGTTCATTTTTTGGTTGAAAAAGCGAGTGTTATAAATCGATATCTTAGATTCCTTGAGTAGATAAGAAAAAACCAAAGATCATTCCATCGTGAATAGCGCTCACTATATAACTATTGCCTCTATGAGGTCCGTGCACCCGTTTAACCAATGGTTAGTGCCGAGGTACACTCGGCGGCTCGCCCACACCCTTGAAGCTGGGAGGAGTTAAGGTTGTATTCTGACGTTGGCTAGTTGGAATATTACGGGGCTGAGCAAAGTTCAATAGTTCAAAGTCATTAAATGTTCGTGTGTGAGGATGATGAATAGCCTGTTTTCTTATGAGTATGGTTCAGAGTCGGTTGGTCTAAATGTCCTTGCTTACCTAATCTGTCCTAGGGACCTCGTTATGTGTCTTGAAGATCCACTAGCGGTTTGAATTATCCACAAGTAATACCATGCATCTCAGGTTGAATAAGTTGCAAAGCGTGCGTATTTTCCGGAAAACCGTCTTCCGACGCCGAGCCTCACCATAACGATTAGGGGGCGATTCGTCCATTGTGAAGAACTTTGTAGAATTGTATATTGCGGAGATAACTAGAGTATTGACGAAAATGCGGGAATACATAATATATATATTTATACAGTTTCGTTCTAAGAATAGATAACCGCTGAATAGCGCCTATAGAGCTTAGTAGTAGGGGAGCATCGTGCTATTATTAATAGGGTAAAAAATTATACTTAATGTCTAAGAATGACCTTAGCAAATCAATACCTCCTAACTCATCCTTTGTCTTTCTTAATCAGTATTTGATTATGAGCATTATAGAGCCCTCTAAGCTTTACGCAGTTGTTGTGGGAGGAATTTTGCTCCTTCTCTTTTTGTTGAGTCGAAGTAAGTGGTTTTTCAAAATAGCATTGCGGTTCGGCAAGCTCATTAGTCGGAATTGTATATTTATAATACTTAAATATGTGATGTATCCTACGGTTTTGCGAAAATGGTTAAGAGTATGGATTTTAATGCAGCTCACATATTGGGCTGGGACTGGAGTCTGCACTTTTCTAGCAACACACGGCCTGAGCGATATAGGCAAACGTGCCGGTAATATCGCTTTGATTAATTTCATTCCTCTTGTTCTTAATGGCCGACTCAGCTTATTAGCAGACCTCCTTGGTTTGCCTATACGGTCATACATCCGTCTGCACAGCACCTTCGGTATGATGGCGTGTCTCCAAGCCCTTCTCCACACGTCTATCACGATTCACGAACACGGATGGAATCCCCGTGAGGAAACTCAGTTTTATGGAATTTTGGTACGTCATTTATCGATTCCAGGACCAATACTAAAGTATCTTAGGCAGTATCTGGCATGGCTTTGTCGATGTTTATTCTAGTGATTCGAAAATGGGCCTACGAGATATTCTCCAATCTTCACTTTGGATCGGCTATCCTAATCCTTGTCACTAGCTGGAAACACATGAGGCTCCAGAATGCTTTTTCCCAGCTCTATCTCCTTATTGGAAGCATTGTTTTCATCACGACAACCCTTTGGCAGGGGTTAATGCTGTTATTTCGGAACATTAACCACTCGAAAATTGGGTCACGAGCCCACGTAAATCGGGTTGAAAATTCTATGGCGGCCCAATTAATTATCCCGGTCAACAGACCATTTATCGTGAAACCGGGCATGATCATATATTTGTGGCTACCGGGTGTCAGCCTTTTGTCGATATTCCAAACTCATCCATTCTTCATAGGGTGGTGGGAAACCAACGCTGATGGGAAGGCAAGCAGTATAACACTTCTGATACAGAAGCAAAACGGCTTCACGAGACGACTTATAGAACACCCTGCGAGGAGCTTTCTGACATGGATCGATGGCCCATATGGCACAACTCCCAATCTTGACCGATACAATCGCGCGCTATTAGTGGCGACTGGTATCGGAATTGCGGCTCAATTGTCCTATATACGGTGTTTCGTTGAAGGAGCTATTCGGAAGAATATGCATCGCGATATATATGTGGCATGGGAGGTTGATTGTGAATGTTCGTTTTTGAACCCTGATTTTGTATTAACCAATGTCTAACGCTTGTAACAGCCGATCTCAACTGGGTCTATGAGTGGATGGATCAATTGCTAAAAAAAGATAAAGGCCTCTACGTGAGTAATCCGTGAAATGGAACGGCCTACCACTAGCTAATTGACTCAGAATCTTTGCTTTGGCATATATATACCCTGGGAAAAGGGGAATATGGACCCAGAGCCTTGGAACAGTCATCACGGGAGGATTTTCAAGATCCCTGGCAAGGTTCATGTTGACGAAGTGATACCACAAGGTTTCTGGGATCAGAAAGGAAAGGGCCTGATCACAGGTAAGTCCTATGGGATAGCTTATGCTCCGAGGTCTGACTCTGGAATTAGTCTCGGCGGGTGAAGAAATTTGCAATAAGCTTTTTAACTCGGTATCAGCCCATATGACTGACATAGTGGACCTGTTTGACCTTGGATTTACATCTTCTGGAATCGCGCAAAGAGTCAATTTAGCAAAAACGAAGGAGCAGGCCTCGGTCTAATCCTCAGCTGATGCAACCCTTTCCCTAGGCATGATGCCTGCTTGTATTTGTTTTACTTTGAGTGAAGGGGCCTAAATCAGAGGAGTGAGGTTGCAGATCAATGCATGATCTAGCTTGGCAAGATAGCAAATTCTGGAAGGCGGCTGCTCTATCACTTCTGCAAGGTTAATTCGCTGGCCACCTCAAGAATTCCTGAGTTGAAAATAGCTTCACTTTCTGTCTTACAGTTCTAAGTTTCTTAACTGAAGCAAACAACGTGAGAATCGAATCCCTTCCCATCCCCTCACACGCGTCAATCAAGCTTGTAGACCACTACGGAACTAACCAGATTAGTAATATCTGGTCACGTGTAGACTTGGCCTTACACCTTTTGAGTCATTCATTCCCATATAATCCCGCTCCTCCCTTTGTTTATCGGTCATGCTACCTCGGTATAGCGACTTTGTTAGAATATGCTGGTAGTTTCCAGACATACGGGTTTCATCCCCGTTGAATTGATTCTATATATCACGAGGTTTCTACAGCCCGATGATATTATGAATCTTTTGCGAGCAGTGAAAGGCCTCGATCAACTTCTCACATCCCATCATCTTGCAGTTAAAGGCGAAAATGGCGAAACGCTTTTGCATGTTATTGCGAGAGATGGAGATGAGAAAATGATGCAATTGTTCCTCGCTAAATCGGTGATACCCGCCGCCGGACATGATGATATCACACAACTGTACCAGGCTGCGACGTTCGGACATATATCAAGGACGAGGTTCATTGCCTGCACTATTATCAATCCCAATGAGCTTGATCACTATAAATCGACTCCTCTGCATTGGGCTGCGAAATATGGGCATGATTCCATTGTGAAAATACTGCTCGATAGAGATGACACTAAGCCTGACCTGGAGAATATTGAATATCGCACGCCTCTGTCGTTCGCTGCTGAACATGGGCATACTTCTGTGGTGGATTTGCTTCTACGGCAAGACAATGTTAACCCTAACTCGAAGGCTTGGGACGATCGCACACCGCTATCATTTGCTGCCGAACACGGACATGTATCAGTGGTGAAGCTGTTGCTAGAGCAAGACAATATCGAGGCTGATGCGGCTGATTGTGAGCAAGACGCAGCGGGAAGATGGCTACCCACAAATGGTGGTCGTACACCGTTGTCATTCGCGGCTGGAAACGGACATCTTGCAGTGGTACAGCTTTTAGTGCAGCGTGACGATGTTGACGCAGATTCAATTGATGATAGCCATCGCACGCCGTTGTGCTGGGCAGCAAAACATGGTCATCTGGCTGTGGTAGAGCTGCTAGTGCAAATGGAGGAAGTTGAAGCTTATTCTTATGATAAATATGGTCGCACGCCTTTCTCGCGGGCAGCTGCGAGAGGACACCAAGCTGTGGTGGAGCTATTGGTGCAAAGGGAGGATATCGGAGCTGATTACAAAGATAAAGTGGGTCGAACGCCTTTATCAAAGGCAGCCGCGAGAGGACACCAAGCTGTGGTGGAGTTACTAGTGCAAATGGAGGATGTCGAAGCCGATTCCAAAGATAAAGATGGCCGCACGCCTTTATCATGGGCAGCTGCGGAGGGACGCCAAGCTGTGGTGGAGCTACTGGTGCAAAGGGAGGATGTTGAAGCTTATTACAGAGATCAATTTGGTCGCAAAAAGTTAGCATTTGTTGGATTCTCGCGGAATTCGAGGAATTAAGTAGTAGTGACAAAGCTGCTGTCTTCCTAGTCCCTATACTGATTCTGCTCGACGGTATCTTGTAGAAAAGTGTGATTACAGCTCGCTGAGCTCTAGCAGTTTGTTAGGAGCCAGGCGGAAAGGAAAGGTCCAATTCGGTGCAATACACACACACACACACACACAATTCATTAACGCCCGGCGGCTAGGCCGAAAGGGCAACTGAAACTGATCTATCAATACATATCCCAATATATATATGCCGTGTCTCCTTCGAGCCCATACATGGATGCTTGCAACATATGTCCTCTCTCAGCTGTCAATATCATACGGATCCTGGTGGGTTAGTGATTTGGTTAGTAGACTGGCTTGAAGGCGCTTCTTCAAGTGTTCAACATCCTATCTTCGGCAGTTGAAGCGCGTCCACCATTTGTGGCACAAGGTGGTAGGAGCAGGTTGATGAGGGGGAGGGTGTCGTTGTATTGGTCGACGTGGTTAAGTGGCGTCAAGTCGGCCCGTGGTGATTGCGAATCGTATTGAGGCTCGCACAGCTTCAAAGTTCGGTGTCCAATGCTGATTATCGGAGGGTGATTTTCCGCCCAGGAAGAAGGAGAGATTGCCCCGGTGAGTTTGGCTGCATTGCAGCAGTGCTATTCGTTGTGTGGTCCACTTCCGACATCGAAAGAGGAAGTGTTCCACGGTCTCTCTTGCTTGTCCACATACACACTGATCGGTATCTGCAGCGTTGATCCGATAGAGATAGTCATTGAGTCTGGCTATGCCAGTCCGGAGTTGGGCCAGCACGCTCGCTTCCTTCCACGATAATCGATCATACAGCTGTCGAGTATGCTTTCCTGGCAATGCTGAATCTACTCGTTTCACGTGTCTTCCTACATTCTCTGGCAGGTCATTGCTCGTAGCTGCTTGGGACCGAGCGAGATTAAGCGTTGTCGACTTCATCCTGGGGACCGACTCTTGCGGGACGGCATCTTTCTAGGTCGCATTCCTGGCCTGCTCCTTGGCTAGTCCTAGCAATTTATTGTCTTTGCTGGTGGGGACCCACAAGATGTTGATGTGGTTTCCGTTTCTCTGCAGTCTTTTCATCAACCTGTACGTTTGGCGGATGAAATCCTGCCCCGACTGTTGTCGGGGATTCGCTATCGTACGGGCGGCCGCTCTGTTGCTCGTGAGCAGCATGATCCTGTAGTCTTTCAGTCCCACAAGCATGTTCAACACGTGTGCCATTGCTGCTAGCTCCGCGGAAAATGGATTTTGCTCTGATCTTGCGCCTAGTGTCACGGAAAAGGTCTTCAGTTTCAGCTTCCGATATCGAGGTGGCTGCTTCTTAATCGCCACTCCAAACCCTACGAGGCCGTTCCGTGCTAAGCTGCTAACTGCAATCTATATTAACCCGCCAGATGCAGTGTGTGGGTCCGGCATTACTTCAACATCGGTCTGCACGCGAGTCTCCCACGGTGCTAATGTGAACGGATTGATGGTTTCCAGTGTCTCTATCTCAATGTTATTCAGTGCGTCCGTTACCTGGTACAGCGGCGAACGGTCGGTGCAATACAGTAGTTTTCGAAATCAGTTATACCTCCACACTCTTACTACTTCATTCCCGGAAAATAATTCCGTCGGTTGTAAGCTCTGGTTAGATAAGCTATTTAAAGCTATATTTCAGACCGCTTTCTACAATCATCGCTATATTTTAAAATACAATTAGCAGACCGGGAAGGATGTATTTTACACGAAACCGACATACACACGCTAATCTGAACGGCCCCTTCTTCCCCCTAATAACTTCCCTACGCATCAAATCTTCTCAGTCCTAGCACCCATTTACTTCAAAGCGATAGATATGGCTCTAAGACTCTCTCCAGCCAAGTTCATTCTCATACGTGATATGATAGAGAGCCATTCCTTCACTATATCTGAAATGGCCGAGCAGGCCGAATGCAATAAGCTAACCATCATCAATATCCGCAGAAACTTACGATAATTTGGAAGCATCTAGCCCCTTAAACCGGAGTAGGTCAGAAAGGAACTATGACACCCCTGATGTTTGAAGCCCTCTGTGATCATCTATGTGAGAAACCTTGCCTATACCTGGATGAGATGGCTAAATTCCTTTGAGATGAGTTTCAGACCATATTTACAACCTCCAGCATTAGGAGGGCCCTTGTCGCTAAGGGTTGGTCGAAAAAGACTGCACGGCAACGTGCGAGAGAGCAAAATGCTGATTTACGAGATTACTATCTGCACAATCTTTCGGACTTCAAAACCTACCACCTCGTACATGTTGATAAATCTAGATGTGATAAACGCGTTGGGTTCAGACGGACAGGTTGGGCACCACTTAGCAAGGCCCCTTTGCAAGTGACGCAATTCCACCGTGACCAGAGATACCAAATATTGCCCGCGTACGCACAGGATGGGATTGTTCTCTCGCGCGTCTTCCGCGGTTCTACGGATGCCACCGTATTTCTTCCTTTACATCGTCGATGCTAACAATAAAATTCTTAAACCCGGAAGAAGCAGGTCAACTTCCTGTGGAAAGCAAATTAGAGATCCGAGGTTTGACTTTGGCTAGAGATGCATATACCTGATATCACGCTTGTTGAGAATATAATTTATAGTTTTTACAGCATTCAATTTAAGATCAAGACCCTGCTGGTTGCAGCATATCGCTCAAATGATGCCCCCTAAGCACTGTCAAACTATAATCCCCAGGGCTATATTGTCTGTTTCACCCCATTGATAATTACGGGACCTCTTGGAAAGCATACTGTAAGAGACAATTGTTCAAAAAGGATACTCCAGGTTCACAACCGTTTAACTCCACCTTGGAATGCTCTTTGTTCTGATTTGACATCAGGAGAAGTAAGATCAAAAGAGGAGATTTCTTCATCCCTAAAATGAGTTGAGTCAGCCTAGTCAGTTAGGGTAAGTCAAGTATGCGGAATTTCATACTTAATCTTTTAAAGGGTATCTTAGACCTGCAAGACAAACATGCCTCCTCTCTCCATCGGATGGAGGCAAGAGACCTTTCAATCTATCTAAGAGTGGATTCCCAGTGATGTTCGTATACCATCTCCAATGCAAGATCCAGGATTTGGTAGTCGTTTTGTGATGCTTGGATATTCTGTTCGCATATACACAGGAAGTGCGACAGATGCTAATGCTAGTTTTCATGACATAAGTATTTAGCAAGTACCAGGCTGGGAATCACCTCTTACCAAGCTAGAATGGTTGATGGTAGGCCCATATCATCCAGGTCTAACACGAAACAGTGCTGAACTAAAAGAAAGCCCCAAGGGTGAGCCCCAAATGGGCTGGCCACAAGGTATAGTTGAAATAAGCCTGCGCTGGCGCATGCGACTGGGTTAAAAGCAAGTAGGCCAAGGAGATATTTCCCGCAACAAGCCCGAAAATAAGGGACTGGTTTCTTGTATGATTTGAAAACATAGCAAGATTTTCGCTCCATTGAAGCAAACCAATAGCCCAAATGATAAGTAAGGCAGTGCAACTAAGGTTACGTCCGACCATAGCGTCGGTTGCCTGCTGGGGCGTAGGATATAGTGGTGGATTCAGGGGTGGGCTTAAGACGACATGGTTGATGAGAGTAACAAGACACATAACGCCGAGACTGATGATAGCATAGCTGCGGGCATTGAGTTGTTCAGGCGAAAGGGCTGTCATTCTTGGAAAAATGGTCAAAATAGAAGCATATGTGCAAGCAGCTAAAATTTTTGGGTGCCCGAGCTGCAATAGTCGTGGCTTCCGACTATGAATCAGCCCCATCCGCCAAGCACCGACAGCCTATTGGCCTGAGTTTGCGTATACTGTACCAGGGGTTAACTCTCTACAGCATAAGCGCAGCCTTCTGTGTTCTGTCTGAATGGCGGGTGGCTGCGTCGGATACGGGAAGAATGAGGGGCAAGAACCAGTGGGAGAAGGACTATCATGCCAGATCGCCTTAGTTCCCCCACCCAAGCTTCTACGCGGTTCCATAAAACCTGACAGTAATATTACGATGACTCATGTGTCATGTAAGGCCATTACAATGAATGTTTTGCCAAACTTATAGAGCGGTAAGCTAAAGAAGGTTAGCGTGCTTCGGATTTATTTTCCGGGAATGAAGTCGCAAGAGTGTGGAGGAATAACTGATTTCGAAAACTACTGTAACTGGGGCAACTCAATCTGGAGAGAAGAAGGAAAAGAGAAGTTCTGACTACGAGAAGAATCGCCCCTTGATCCTCCTCCGCGAGAGGTCTTTCCAGCCGGAAATCTCGAGACGCGTCAACAAGCAAACATCCCTCCACTCGTCAGTTCTTTCCAAAGACTGAGGCCCAAATCGATGCAAGTACAGCGTAGAAGACGGAGTAAGTTCGTTACCGGCGTGAGAGGAAGAGCTGGACAATGTTACTACAGGCATTAACTAAATACTTGGCTTTTTAAATTATATTATATATGTTGAAAATTCACAAATGGGCATTTTCTCGAATACATTTGCGCATTTGCGCCTCCAGCTCGGCGTTTCGCCGCGGGGCAAATTCCCTCAGGGAATTTTTGACCCAAGGGATGCGGGACCTAGGTGAATGCAGACTTGTGGAGCATATAGCCATGGGCTAACTATTCCGCGGGGAGATGCTACCACGGGGGAAATCCGACCGTAGGGTCGTGCGTCCCTGTGGGTTTCCACCCTTGTGGTAGTAAATCCCTTGAGGGAATTTTCCCTTGAGTGTCTGGATACCGCAAGGTAAGTTAGACCTGAGGAATTTCCTTCCTGCGGGTTGAATGTCCCCAAGAGTGTTTGCCCTTAGGATCACCTGGATTTATCTATCTCACTTAAGAATTTCCTTTTCGTTCGCCCTGTGTCCAGAAAGACTTTTCCAACAAAAATTAAACCAGCTTGTTGTACCAGTTCCCAAAGCCTATGGGGACTGTAACCCGTGATACCTCCCTCATTAAGGAGAAAAAAGCAACAGCCCTGATGGACAAGCGAAGTCATTTTACCCTCAAACACCCAGCGCTGACTCGGCGAGGAAGCAAACTTGATATATTTACACTCTGCCCATGAATATGCCACAATTAGCCGCGGTTCTTCACTAAGAAATTCTTTGACAGCCTGAGAAGGAATAATGCTGTCGTCCAAAGCATGAAACTCGTTCATTTTCCTTGGCGATACTTCAAATCCAGGTGCTAGCACGGGAATATTGCTATCCGATGTTTTCCCGCCCTGGACTTCACTGCCACCTTCAGACTGTGTATATGGCAAAACGCTTGCCTGCATTGACTGTAAATAATCTTGAAGATGGGACATTGGTCGGCTGGCTAACGACTGGCAACTCTCAGTCTCGTAGAGGCTAGCCGAATCAGAGCCAGGGATCTGCTCCAGATAGCTTGTGTTTTCTGCCTCGGGTGAACCGTTATCTCGCCCTAACGGTGAATCACTAGGTGAGGGAGGGTCTATAAATTCGGCATCTGGACCATCACCACCGCTGTCGTCCTCAAAATTGCGTGATTGGTCGTCTGAGTCAACAGGGAAAAGATCGCGAAAGAAGCAGATAAATATATCGCGTTGGAAAGCCAATGAAGTCAAATAAGAATGTGCTTCTGAAGAGTAGTTGGTAAAGATGTCGATAAATAGGTACTGCCGGATCTTTTGATAGCTTTGGTCATCAGGCACACCAACACGGGATCTCTTTGGCAGGTTATCAAGATCGGAAGAAAAAGAAGGCTGTAGCCGGCTTAATATAGGTGTTGCTATAGCCTGTAGCTCAGTTGCAACATGCATCACAAGTCTGTTGGCCCGGCCCTCGTCAAGTTCAAACGACTCCCGAGGACGTACTCGGTGCAAGAATGCTTTTACTGCTGCGATCTCTGGATTACGGGTAGCTAACGTCCTGATACTCGCGCTATCAAAGCCGAGATCAAGGGCTAGTCGAGCCAAAATAGATAGGCTCTCTTCAATTGATCCTTCAATGGATGGCTTTTTCCCCATAGATGATCGGTGTGGGGCGGTCCGGCTTAGGACTGGGAAGTCTCGCATGGCTGCAAGAAAGAGCATTAAGTACCCTAACTTCTTTCGCTCTTGGACTCCACCTCTAGCAGACCTGAATTGCTGATTACCTGTTTGGATCCTAACCTGGCCAGAATTCTGATTTTGATCCGTATAGATATGGAAAAACGACGACCGAAAAGTTGCCGCGCGTCGACCATCGGGTTGTCTATTGGATCGTCTATTGGATCGTTCCTTGGGTGGAAGCAGTGGGCGAAGTGACTTGATCCATGTTTCCAGATAAAGAGTGTCTTTGAAAAAGTTATAAAAGGAAGGCACTCGACCACGGAGCCGTAAAAGCCGGGGTATAATTGCTTCTCGAGTTAGTAGCGGGTCAATTCCTGGGAATAATTCACCGTGCTCCGCCATTCGCTGTATTAGAGCCGCGTCGTGGGTTGCCTCCGGAGTAAGCGTCTCGAGGAGATCAACTGTGTTTGAATCAAGAAGTGGAAATAGCTGTGGGTCTTCAAGTATAAACGCCCAGGTTTCTTGAATATGCCGAACGTAATTCACGAGCTCCTGATTCATTTATCAGGTCGATGTAATACTGAAAAACAAAACGTTATAACACACCTCCCGGCAACCTAGCGGTAGTATTTGGTTGAAACAGCCGAGCTGAAAGGTATGCCATAGTCCAACAAGTGGAATACTATTATCGAACGCATACTGTAGCTCCTGGTGTGTTCTTTCTAACTGCCTGAGATTTTGGGCCTTCCTGGAGCTAAGTCTTGATTCCCACTTTTCCACTTGCAAGTAATTCTGCTGACCCTCGTAGTACCGGATGTTGCGATAAATATCGCCATCATTGAATTTTAACTGGTGCGAGTATTCCTCGCGAATGGCCTCCTTTGTTGACTGTTCAAGGTCTGCTATTTGTTAACTGCAAGTTGCCAGAATTTGGGGGTTTGGTCCTTACCCTCGCTATAAAGCACAGCAGTCCACCATCTCTCTGTAGGTTCCAAGAACTCTTCTGCGGCTCGAAGACGGTGTTCTCCATGCAAGACTTTGATTTTTATATTTTCGGGAAAACGAAGGAAGCGTGGCTCTCCTTCCTGCTTTAAATCAACTTGCCGCAGGTCCGAATACCGAAGCCCCGCGGCTAGATCGGTTGGGGAAATGATAATCGGGACATAGTTATCCGGACTATGTAGTCGCATGCAGCCTTCATCGGCGTAGACCCTTTTTAAATGGTCAATTTGTTTTCTATTAATCTTCCCACGTGCAGAACAACCGTAATATCGAAGATTTTGCAGCCACACTTTCGCCCGACCACAAAAATGGGCCCTCTTATCACGGTGAAACTTTTCATCTAGCGAGTCAGGCATTGAAAGGTTTAGCGGAATGATAATGATTCAAGATTTCACTGGGAAGATTCTTTGCAGATCAAGTTAAATCTTTATTTGAAGTCCAGTGGCACAATGGTACAAATACTACTTTACGCATTTTGGAAACTCACAATTGAACGATAGCTAGAATTGTAACCTATACCTATTTAATTTTTTCTGGTTCTCTGATGTCAGATTCAAGATTCAAGAGTAACCATTTCAACTCGTAAGGCCATCAGTTCTTCCTTGCTGGAAAATCAAGTTATCAAGAAGATACAGAATGTCCCTGTGTGACTCGGTTGCGTATTGTACCACTAAAGTCATAGGCAGCGGTTCTCTCCGTCATCCAAACTAGTGGCACGAGATCTATAGACCCTAGGGTGACAGCAAGAAACGGATGCTGGTTTAGTCAGTTATCTACAGGACACCGCATGGGATGCGTTGTGTTCTTACCTTGTGAAGATCGGTCACTGACACAGCCCCTGTTGCTCTATGAAATTCAACTAGGTCTTTGCTCCAACGTTCGGGGTACCGCAGCTTGTACTCATCAGGGTTTTTAAACGTCACCCCTGGTTGTGCCATGCGCAGTATTAGTTTTCCTACGGCATCATTCTGACCCTCCTGTTTTGCACTAGGGGTTGAAATCATGCTTCGGCCAACGTTTCCTTTAGAGTATCAGCATCTACCAGCCAGCTATTTAGCAATATTAATACCTATTTTGACAATACCGGTATCAGTCAAGAAGATGTTGTCATACAGTGTTGTCGTGTAACTGGCTTTGAGCTCGTTACAGATATAGAGCAACCCCGAGAGAGTCTGAACGGATTATTAGCTCTCTCGCCAATTTAGCTAAATATAAAATGCTACTTACCTCTCGGCAAATCGTTGCAATGTGTATATCCTCGATTGTGTTGCAGGCGCACAGTTGTTCCAGCGAGATATGCATTCGTTCATATCCTAAGAAGCATCTTCCACTCCAGTAATATGCATCCTTCAACTTCACAATGTTAACATGGCTCGTTGGGATGAGTTCACGAAGTGACTTGGCATCCAAAACTCTGTGCTCTTTTACAGCGACGATAGAAGTAATTGGATTCCATGCAACGGCAAGGAGCGTGGTTTCAGATGGGCCTAGGGCCGCGAATCTTTTGTAGGAGGTCCAAGGCGAACTTTCCTTCAAAAACTGAGTCACATGGCGTTTATTTCTTGCATTATCAGAATCTGCTGCTCTCTTGTAGGTCGCGTGGTTATCTCCATCTGTTTTATTTGATTGTCGGAGGTTCAAGTCGCTGTTCTGACTATGATCGGACGATCTTTCTGGCTGGCCAAGCACATTTTGCATTTGGCTTCCAGGATTTATTTGTTTATCCGGGGGGCGGAGGTTTTCGCTACGTGGAAAAGTAGTGCATGGCCTGCTTTCGGGGAAAGACATTGTTTCCGCTTTGTTGAAAGGTCCGTGCAAAGAAAGAAGATCAAGGGCAGATCCAGAAGTTCAACTGAAGGTAGAGACTCATCATTATTGACCTCCACCCCTGGGAAGCTGGAACTTTAAATGTATTTCCATCTTTGATTTTATGAAGGTCCCTGTCGTTCTAATAATAGAAACTTAATTCATTCCTTGCATATCGCGCTTGAGTCGGATTACCTTGATACTTAATCACACATCTATGCCGGACTTCCACGCTGTGGCGTTCCTTTGACACGATCATAACCCATTCGTTCGCCCTTCATCTGCAAGCAGAATCTTTCCAAGAAGAATCTTTCCAATTGATCCTTTGTTAAGAATCTCTTTGCATTGTTATTTCTGAACTTGCTAATCGCCTATGTCACTCATAAATCAGCCAATAGGCGCCTCAGAGATAAGGGAACCAAAAATAGAACATCGGCGTAACGCCCACATTGCAACAAGGCATGATGTCCAAGAGCGCATTTTCAAAAGGTATAAGGCGAAAAGACGAATTTTAAAAGTGTTACATTTGCCTTAGTATAATAGATAGTCTTCAACCCCTTTTCCCGTTGTTGCCCGCATGCTTGCATTCCCCTCTAGATTACTTGGGCTCCTACTTCCCAAGAACATACCATTTACAATTTCCATGGCACGTTTCTTTTCTAAGCTTGCCCGAAAGATGGGTCTTATTGGAGTCCATATCACAGTGGTGCGGCATACGCGCGGAAGAATGCGCGTTATTCATTCTATCTTTCCATCTGATGGTTGGCCAGTGAGTCAAGTCAGGTCTGGAGACATCATATTTTTAGGCTAATTGCTCAAAGGAATATTTTACGCTCTCCAATGACGAGGAGCAAGACAGTTTCCACCTAGAGAAGGACCAAAAGGTTGAGCTAGAGTAATATGGGCAGGAGAGAGGCAGAGCGATAGTTTCGAACTTGAAGAGGATATCTGTCAATTTCGCCCTCTGATTTCAACCCAGAATTTTTATTTTTCATTGAGTATTGTAACCATCGCTATACTGTACTTAATAGAAATCTTGCTCCATAGATTGACAAATTCGTTATACTTGAATAACAATTGATTGCCGCGGTTTACATACAGAGGAGTGCAAAACAGAATACTACAGAATTATCGTCGCCCTATATCTATTAGTATAAGTCTTAAATGGCTTTGTTCTATGTTACTCACTAGTATAATCGTGTAGAGGAGATCAAGCATACCCACCACCTCCGATATAAGACCTAGTAGACTCATCGCCTCCAGCCAGTGCAGAAAATGCTTCTGGAGAAATAGTAGCACATCTTCTATCCCGGAAGATAGATACTAACTTTGCTCGAGATAGTGTATCCAGTAACGACAAGAGTACTGTAATTCCGGTGGTAGATATTGGTGTATATCTTAGGGGTCGATGTCTGCCTTACACGCTCCAGGATTTACGAGACTACAGATATCATTCCGTAGATGACTCTGCATCGTTTTGAGACAGGACTTAGCAATGTCTTTGTGCTTTCTTCGCTCATCCACAAAAAATTTGCTGGTAGACCGGACCAAAAAATCCCGAAATGATAGATATAGAATCCTGACAGGCTGATCTCGGTCACCAGGAATACTCAAAACAGAGCGGAATGAATCCAATCGATTACTAATCTGGTCTGCTCCTATCTCAAGAAACAGCGACAGGGCATTTATAGAAAGCGGATCAGCGAGAAGGATAATGACACCGACTATGTCCTGGAACTCTTGCAGGAGCTGCTGCTGCTCCGATTCATCACTCTCTTAATCGTCTAGTAGTCGTGTCAGAATTGGCAGGTACGTCTTATCCATTCTCGATACATATTTGGCTTGGTTCTTTAGAAGCTCTGCGAGGCGCAATTTAGAATCCCATTTTGCATTTTCGATATAACGGCACACAGTAGCAGCCGAAATAAACAGTGGAATAGACATCGTGACTAATTTTTGGATGACGTCATCGCCGGGCCAGTCTTGGGAAATATTTCTGTCGTGTTTGATTCTCGCAAATCGGTCCTGCAGGAATAAATTTATGTTATGTTTTGTCACTTCTTTCGGGTACCTCATGAAGAGCTAGGTCCTGATACTTATGATCTGCGATGTCGGAAAAGCCGAGGTTGATTGGGAGCTCGGGTCTGCTAGTTAAGAAGATACGAAGGCGAATTACTTTCGCTCTCTGTAGAATGGGTAGAAGTCGAATTATGGTTCGGATATCTTGATCATGGTCACATTCGTCTAGCGCATCGATCACAATAACAGCGGTCTGAGGGTGTCGGCCAAGTTGGTTGAGATTGAGCAGCGGTTGGAGGAGTAGTTGTTCGAATTGCTCCTTGAGCGATTTTGTCGCAATTTCAGGGTCGTGATCGAGGGCCTTTTGTACCCCCGACTTCAGCCCAGAGATTCTGAGCATTAGTTGCTTTATCAGTGTCGGAAAGATCTTCTTTGCATTGCCTCGGTCTTCTTCGCCCCTCTTGAAGAAAAAGCTGGCTCCTAGATGGTGGGTATGCTTGAGTGAATTTGCCACAGTCCGGGATATTGTGGATTTCCCCGTCCCAGCCATTCCCTGCAGCCAAAATATAGATCTCTCGTGCGGTGAAAAAGCCCACTCGCTGATTTTATGAAGAATATCGGTTCTTGTACCTTCGAGACATTCGTCATAATACTGATCCGCATATGAACCTAACGCAGCGTCGTGTGCGAAGGGGAGCTTGTCTAGACCTATATAATTGTTAGGGAGATCTGCTACAAAGGAAGTCTGTCAAACTTACTTGAAGGAGGAAGATGAAACTCGGCATTGATCGGTCCAGTATTAATCCCTACCTGAAGTCCGGAATTGGAGCCAGGAAATGAGACCGTATGAGCGGCCGTGGCTGTAGTTTCCAACTTTTCATAAATATAATCGGTATCCTGGGCCATCCCAACTATCAGAGAGCTATCCAAGTTCTAATTTAATATATAGATTCATAATCATGTTAGATAAACTTACGTTTGATTCCCCTGTAGGGACGAATGGAAAGAATATTTATATCTCTTCAGGTTCTGCATCATGCTTTCCACCTCAGCCCGCTTCAGGGGCCACTTCAATGCACGCAATCCCACTTTCCTCATCAGCTTCTTCCCTTTTCTTGAATCAAGTTTTGCTTCTAAATTTCGGAGGTCGGAGTGGCATTCAGTAATATCGTCGGTGAGTCGTGAGGAGGTAAGTAGGGCCTTTCCGTCGTCACTTTGAAGAGATTTCTGTAGGTCCTGGAGCGTCCCTTCGATGCCTTCAATCGACCGGTTGAGGGAATAAATTTCGTCTCGTGCATCTTTGACCTCTTGAATGTAGCCCCCACAAAGCTTCACGAGGCTTCCCGTCAGCTGGATGACCGCGATAACGCTCGCAGCCGCGGATACTCGATCCATTTGGAAGGACACGGCATCAAAGCCAATATCCCAACCTAGTCAGGTACAATGGCGAGTGAAGTGTGAAGTATAGTATGCGAATTTATGCTTAGGCTGCTCTAAGGAGGCCAAGAGGGGTAAGTTGAAGCTGTAATGCAACAGTGCACTTCAGGCGCTAAGATGACTAATCATACGTCCCCTCAACGAGAAAATGGAGCCAACGGACCCGTCTCGCGCGAACCATCTCGCGCCCACGGCGCCCCTGGCCACCTCCCCTCACCAACTTCTTCGGTTGACAGCACGACAAAGACCATCATGGCGCCTCGACTCGCCCCTTCCCAGCTTGTGATGATTCGTGATATGATTGACAGCAGATCGCTGACTACCTCAGAGATGGCAGAAGCGGCTGGCCCAGCAAACGTTCGATTATAGTCATCAGTAACAACCTCCAAATGTTCGGCGATGTTCGAGCACCCTTGATCCCTGGTGGCCGTCCTCGTATGATCACACCGTTTATGCTCGAAGAATAGCACAGGAACGAAATGCGGATTTGAGAGATCATTATCTACATCAGCACTCTGAATTTTGCTCGTATCATCTGGTCTTCATAGACGAATCAGGGTATGATAAACGGGCTGGCTTCAGGAGGACCGGTTGGTCACCACGCGGCGGGCCGCCTGTCCAGGTTTCCCGTTTCCAGCGCGGCCAGCGGTATCAAATTCTCCCGGCATACTGCCAGGATGGCATCTTGATGTCGCGAATCTTCCAAGGATCGGCAGACGCCAGTATATTTGAGGACTTTATTGAACAGCTTCAACATCGTTGTGGTAGATGGCCGGAGCCAAAATCCGTCCTCATCATGGACAACGTGTCGTTTCACCATACTGAACGAATAGCAGAACTATGTTCAAGTGCCGGAGTCAGGCTGTTGTACTTACCACCATAATCGCCAGACTTAATCCCAATCGAAGAATTCTTCGCGGAACTCAAAGCATTCGTAAGACGGAATTGGCAAAATCACGAAGGTCAAGATTTCAAAGATTTTCTTGAATGGAGTCTGGATGTCGTCGAAGCGAAAAAAGAAAGTGCAGAAGGTCATTTCCGGCATGCGAATGTTGTGGTTGAAGAGAAATCAAGTTAGATATACATGTCGAAGGGTCATAGTAAATCTTTGACTATTATACGGCTCAGGAAAGCTTCATTATTGTAAGATTCGTGTATGGGGTAATATAGAATAGAGTGGAGAAACTAGGAGATCCTTTGCTGATATATTTACCAGGTGAACCGAACTGTGTTCGTTCGCTTTACCCACAAGGGACTTCAAGCCATTGGTACTCCACTATCCGTCGTCATATTAAGCAGGTGCTTATGACGTAATGTACACATGGCCATTTAGATACACCCAATTCCTAAACTAGCGACTTGGCAGTGGGTCCCAGAAAGAATTAATGAGTGTAATTTGGTGAAGCTGGTTTTGCACTTCTCTGTAGGACTTTACGGAAGATCGACAACACCCTGCCAGCAAGATACACCAGGAGGCTATATGGGAACCTGCCCAGGAACCGCGCGTACCTGTTAACGCAACTACGCACGGGCCATAACTGGTTATCCACCTACCGCAAGAAGGTTGGATACAGTGACAACGACCAGTGCGTGTGCGGCGCACAAGAAACAGTCACCCATGTGTTGGTGGACTGCCCGAACTTGAGGGATCTCCGAAGAGAGCTAAGGAGAGAAGTTGGAGACGCGTTCAATAGCGTATCGAGTCTGCTGGGAGGCCCAAAACAAGGTGAGAAAGGTAAACCAGACACCGTCTCAAGGGCGAAGACGGTCCAGGCCGTGTTGGACTTCGCCGAGGCGTCACAACGATTTTGCAGTCGCGCGCCACGAGGGCAGCCCAACAATGGGAACGGCAATTAGGCCACGGTAGGCCTTGACGAGGCTCTAAGTTCGTTTTTAGGCAGTGGAACACTCTACATGTACATACACGAAGATATATAGTGGTTGTATCCTGCATATCATTTTGAGGGGTCAGGGTAAATGAATTCACACACACACACACACACACTCTGTAGGACTGCAAAACCAGCTTCACCAATTTACACTCACGCATTCTTTCTGAGCCCCACTGCCAAGCCGCTACTTTAGGAATTGGGTAAATATGAATGGTCCTATGTACATTATGTCATGATCAATCTGCTCAACTAATACGATGTTGGAGAGTAAAGAGTGGAGTAACAATGGCTTACAGTCCCTTGTGTCAAAGTGGACGAACATACTTCGCCTCCATAGCTCAACATATCCGCAAAGGATCCCTAAGCTTCTACACATATAATAATGAAGTTTTGCCTCTGGGTGAATACGGTATCTCTTCAGCAGCCCGAGTGGCCGAGGACATGTCACACAGCTTTCCCAATGTTCGGATCGGTCTGATGGTCGGCATCGGCGGCGGAGCTCCAAGCCCGCAGAATAACATTCGCCTTAGTGATGTGGTAGTAGGCATTCCTCACAACGGCCGGAGTGGAGTTATTCAATACGACTTCGGTAAAATGATACAAGGCCAAGGTTCTGTCCAACAGGCTTCCTTAATCAGCCCCCTACCCTCCTCCGTGCAGCGGTTAATAGGCTTCAGGCCCAATATGAGATAGAGGGTCATCAACTTGAAGAGTCCATCCGTCACGCTTTTGAGAAAAAACCACGCCTACGAAAAAAATACCAGAGGCCAAATCTAGAAAGCGACCGGCTTTACCGAAGTCACACCGTTCACCCACCGGAAGGCAGATCGGATTATAAGATAGTCTGTGGCGATGACTTAGTCGCCTTAGTCTCACATCATCCACGCCCCGAGGATGAAGATAGCCCGGCTATTAACTATAATTTAATCGCATCAGCTAATCAGCTGATGAAGGATGCTATAATCCGTGATAAATTTGCGGCAGAAATGGATGTGCTATGTTTTGAAATGGAAGCGGCTAGGCTTATGAATCACTTCCCATACCTTATGATATAGTTCTCTCGGTGGCGTTCTCGCCTGACGGCGGGCAACTAGTCTCTAGCTCTAGGGACATGGCGGTGCGGTTCTAGAACACAGCGATAGACGATATATGTCAGACCCACGACGGCCACTCAGCTTCCGTTCGATCGGTAGCTTTCTCGCCAGGTAGTTCGCTATTAGCATCTGGCTCTGATGATAAGACAGTGCGACTCTGGAACACGAAGACAGGTGACCTGTAGCAGATTCTTGAGGGCCACTCTCACTCAATACGATCAGTGGCTTTTTCTACCGATAGCCGGCTGGTGGCATCCGGATCTGGTGATATGACAGTACGGCTCTGGAACACGGCAACAGGCCGGCTACAGCAGACGCTCAAGGGTCATTCAGATAAGCATTTTTATATCGAGGAATTACCCTCACATCACCTAATCTCCTGTCAGTCTGACTTGACTTGTGAGGCTGACGCTTACGCAGGACTAGAACGTTCCTGGTGGTCAAGTTAAGGTTTTGGCTGGAATTGCTGCATTTAGCCTTCTTGATTTCAAAAACAATACATATAATGGCCCAGGCTATGTACAGTAACGGATTAGACACTACATTGTTCTTCAATCACTGCTGGAGTCTCCGTAGCCCGTCTTCCAGATCTCCAAGTCGGGCGATCACGTCATCAAAAAAACGGGTCTGTAAATGAGGATTCTCAAGGTCTTCTCCACACCCAAAATCACATCTTAAACATTTTCGCACTATGACCGCAAAGTCAACTCCCAGGTACGTTCCAACATGGTCAGCTAACCGCCGCGCAGATAGAAAGTCCGAAACCACACTATTCTCTGGACTAAAGAAGACCCATTGGCTTTTTCGAATTTGATGGAATGGTTGGCCGTATGCAAGCTCTAGCAGGAGTATACCCAGTCGAAAAAGTAAAGTATTTGGAATTAATCCTTCATTGGTTACGTGAGCTGATTCATCGCATAGGGGTCCTGGAGATTTGGTGGTCCGAGTCTCTGGTAAATTCACTTTGATGAATGGGGAAGAGCATAATCCTTGTCCATGGTTGTTGCAATTTGGCTCTGTGAGGAGATATATCTCATCGCTTGTCAGCCATTTTGGAAGCCATGGGGTAGAGTAGAAGCGCAACACTGAGAGGGCTAGGCATTTCGCAAGCTGAAGCCGTCGAACTTGAGGAATACGCCCATGGATATCGGACAATGAATTTTGAAACGACATTGCCAAGGAGACAAAATCCGAGGACGGCTGTAACTGTATGGCATGAGGGCGTAAACGATGCTGATAATTGGATGATTGGTGCAGGATTTTAAAAAATCCTTCCGAAAATTGAGTGTCTGCTGCTGGAGATATGTCAGCTAAGTGCTGACAAACCCCCCCCTCTGTGCAAATTTCAAAGTCTGGGTCACAGCTATCCTTGAAATTCAAGAGGGGTTGGTGGTCTGGAAGCGCACTTGAGCTGGTAATGGATTCTACCTCGAACCAGATGTGATTTTCAGCTTTCTGACTCTGAAGAGAATTTGGATTTCTGAAGTCACATGGCACTGTGTGAGATTGTCCCTTGGCAGCAGGCCGACCCATTGCAAAATAAAACCGTACATGACTGGATAAAGTGTCCGCTTGGGAGAATTTGAATACAGGATCCAATTGCAGTTGCAATGTGTGCTCTGCATGGTCCGTACATGCTCCGCTTAGTGTCTTATACAGATGTTGTGAGGATTTCCGGATGATTTGCGATTGTTTGACCACATCAGAAAAATCGTGACGAGGAACCTGTTCTTGAAGACCGGGTTGACTTGCGGGCGCTGGAATATCAAGCCTTAGAACCTGGCTGGAAAGAGTGACCAAAGATTTGTTCAGCTCGCGCAGGTCTGACATTGCGGTCTTCAATGGGAGCTCCGAGATGCTGAACTTCACTTTTCTCTTAAGCCTGTGGCGTCATGCTCCACTAACAACAAACTCTCCCACTGCGGGCGCCGTCTCAATGATATCCAGTTTCTTGCATATTTCCTGTAGCTCACCCAGTTTCAGCCGTATATCCGACATCAAGAATTCACAAGCAGGTGCAAGCAAGCCAAGCTTTTGATTGAGGCTTGCTTGTAGGCCTTCGTCATTCCAGAAACTGTGTTCATGTTGATTGAGCATCTTTGCTACCAAGCTCCGATCTGCGACGGTTCCCAGCAAAATCTGGCACTCGGCTAAAAAAATCGCACGCTCAACTTCAATTTCAGCGCTGAGACGCTTCACCTTTGAGGAGAATTTGCGATACCGTTGTATTGGACCTAAAATGTCGTTGTAGTGTTCCGCTGCTGACACTATCAGAGGTACAACTCCTAGAACTAGTCCCACTACTACCTCGGCCATGGTCTTTGATCGGGTAGAATTGCGTTGGAGCAGGTCTGATCTTAATTGTAAGTCTCTAGATTCAAATTTGATCTCAAGTCCTGTACAGGATCACCGCGCTGGTCGTTTCCTCAAAAACAAGGCAGTGAGAACATTTGGAAAAATCAGGTGGGGCAACTGAGGTCGTAATCGCTAATGCGGGGTAGATAAGGCTTACAGGCTCCGACACACTACATCCAACAATAATTTTGCTCCATTTAACATCCAAGCCCTTTGATTTCCTCAAGATTGACCCAATGGATTTTGCAGTGGCGCAGGATGAGACTAGTACACATGGCTACAACGAATCCCTTTGGGAACTGTCTTTACTTCTATTCTCCGGCATATCCCAGCTATCCCAGCCGCAGGCAGTGACAGATGTCCCTCCTGAAAATCAGCGCGTCCGAGATGCGCTTACAAAGTTCTACCTCTGGGGAGATGGACTCCGCAATGGCAAGCTTGAAGATATTCTGTTTGAATCCGAGTTCCTTCGAGTGTCAATCACCAAGAGCTTGTTGGCTATAGGAACAAATTTGCTCGAATGTGAGTCATTCCAATTTGTTATCTCGTGGGTATAACACTGAAAGCCACGAAAACAAAGGGGTTCCAGAATCACCACGGTCGCGTACACAGTTTTTTGATGCTTTCAACAGCCAACGGGAGGCCTTGGGAAAAATTGTAACGACCCTGGGACCAGAGTATGGATCACAGGATGACGAAAATGATGAAGAGATTGATGACAGCAGCTCCGTCACCTCTAGTGGTAGTGGAAGAGACATCCTTGATGATATCATCTTTTATATAGAACTATTAATGGCACAGGTTCCCTCCTTGGAGCATGTCAATGATCAAATGCGCCAGCAAATGCGGCAAGGGTCAATTACGTCTTCTGAAACCTCAGTTGGTGTTTCCCAGATATCACAGGAGAAGGGAAATTCCAGTGAAGATCATCTAGGCAGGGCCTCTCAGTTGAACATCCTCGGAAAGTGGTTTCGGGAACGATTCGAGCGGATTGGATCGATGGACGACCTCAACCGTGCTGTTGAAATTGCACAGAGGGTACTAGATTGCACGCCTGACGACCACCCTATTCGAGCCGGTTATTTAAGCAACCTTAGTAACTGGCTTGGTGCGCGATTCGAGCGGATTGGATCGATGGACGACCTCAACCGTGCTGTTGAAGTTGTGGAAAAGACACTGGATTATACGGCTCTAGACCACCCTGACCGAGCGGAATCGTTGAAAAGCCTTAGCAACTGGCTTGGTAGACGATTTGAGCGGACTGGATCGATGGGTGATCTCAAGCGTGGATTATCAGTCTACAAGGAAGGCTGGAACTGCCAGACTGCCGCTCCATCTGGATTGCTTTGGGAAAAGGTTGTGGAGGACTGCCCTGCTTTTCTGCAGAATCTGCCCATTGAGATGAAGTGCACGGTCCACTTTGTCACACCTGACGAAAATATGAGGCACAATTTCAAAAAAGACTGGGATCGACTTGATGGCGACCGAACTTGGCTGAAACTCGATATAGAATGCAATATCAGCCCATTATTCACGATTTCTATCGACAATAAAGGAGATTTCAAAATCCGCGACTGGTCGGGCAACCTAAGCGCGGCCATCGAAAACGCTCTGAAACCGCTGCCGGCTTCGAACATAGACAGCATAAGAACACTCATACATCGTCTGGAACACCTCGCGAGGTTCAAAATGACAAGAGAATTAGCCAATCCGGATTTGCGGACTGACACACCATCCAATCTCGTTGTAATCAGTGCAGGCTCTATACCTAAGAGCCAGAGCATATCAGAACAGTGGTTCCTTCCGGCTGAGATGGCGGAGCTGGCTTCGGGGGTTTATGAGGTGCAGGAGAGGGCTGAATTTTGCATCACAATCAAAAATCAGTCCAGCCAACCCTTGGGTTGTGTGCTCCTGAACTGCCTTCCACAGGTCGGCATCGAGCAGGTCTTTCCACCAGTCTCTTTACGAGGCGAACCTGCCTATATCCTCAACCCCGGATACGACAAATCTGTGGTATTTCGGATGATGATCGCGTCAGAAATGCGAGTATCAGCCCTGTGCGGCATTCCTATTGTTGATACATTAAAAATTCTTGTGTTCGATCCTCCAACGAAGATTGACTCGCTCAGGCTCCAGAGGCTAATAGACATGGAAGACGGCAGACAGGACGGTGACAGTGAAATGCGGTCTCAGGGCTTTCGAGATCGCTTAGGCTTCCTCGACACGAAACGGCTCGCAAAATCTCTTCCGGCTCCCGGTGGCCTGAAAGCCAACTGGGAGACGTTCAACGTGAAAGTGCAAATCAAGCCGTCCTGTGAATAGAAACCGCAATTAATCTAGTTGATGAGATGAAATGCTGCCGTCAGCAGATTTGACTTTTATTGACATTCCCGAGCATGATGCCTAGCTAAAATCCATTTTCCCGTCTAGTCATTCTTACCTTGTTCGCCCTACTACGTATATCATTTAATTCGAAGGCAGTAGATCTTGCTCCTTCTACGAAGCGCGAATTTGGCAGCATACTGTAACCTACTACAATTATTAGCATATATATCGGGGGTTTTTCGCCAAAGATTATGTCTTCTCAACGAGAGGCGTTGTTCATAAATCAACGCGAAAATATGGGGATTTTGGTACGGTGCTGCCGCTCTCAGTACCACTCAATACCCTTAACAGTGAGTTACATAAATCTCAGCGCTAGTGCCTTGGCAGTGGGGCCTTAGGAGACGAAAAGCAATCTCTGGGGTAGAAGCAGATTTCGCTACTGACTGTAGTAGAATACCCGAAACCCCGGGAACAAATCAGGACAACGAATCATTCACGCAATCCTCCAGGCAGCGACAGAGGTTCAAGCGGAAGGAGTTGCGCTCCGCTTGCAATGGCTTCCGGGGCACTGTGAGAATGCGGGAAACGACGCAGCAGATCGACTAGCGAAGGATGCCGCGCACCCAGGAAAAACACACCCCTTCCGCCCTCTGCTCATGAGGAAGAAAGCATTGATCCAAAGCAAGATTTCCGCGCAGTGGGCGCACGAATGGAAGTCTACCCCCAAAGGTAGCCATCTGCGAAAAATCGACAACGCACTGCCGGCCATATACACGAGGAAATTGTATGGCAGTCTGCCTAGGAACCGGGCGTACCTGCTCACGCAGCTGCGTACGGGCCATAACTGGTTATCCACTTACGCTAAGGCGCACAAATTTCGCGACGATGATCACTGCGTTTGCGGCGCGCAAGAAACAGTCACTCATGTGCTGGTGGACTGTCCGAGTTTGAGGGAACTGAGACGGGAGCTGAGGAAAGAAGTTGGGGACGCATTCAGTTCAATATCGAACCTGCTGGGAGGTTCAGCTGAAGGTAGGAAAGGTAAACCAGACACCGTCTCGCGGTCCAGGACGGTCAATGCCGTCTTGGACTTCGCAGAGGCGTCACAGCGATTCCGCAGTCGCGCGCCACGAGGGCAGCCTAACAACGGGAACGGCAATTAGGCCACGGCAGGCCTTGACGAGGCTCTAAGTTCGTTTTCAGGAAGTGGAACACTCTACATGTACGTACGCGGATGTATATATAGTTGAGGTAGCCTGCATATCGCTTTTCATTGCGAGGGTTCAGGGTAAATGATACAGTGCCGCCCGTTATTGCCTTCCATATCTGGTAACACAGAGATACTCTTTCAAACCCTAGTCACGTGCTGTGATAAACCCAATATGGAATCGCGTAAATTACGGGTTATGACTATACATAGTAATGGTACCTGATTTTGTACCCCAGTAGTATCGATACAGGTCTCTGGAGGCGTGGGCGACTAGAAGGCTCCATGCAAACCAAGCAAACTAGTGACCTTTAGCAATCTGTCAACTTCGCTCCTTCATCCCTCAGTTGCTTCACTACAGAGGGTATGGCGCTGCCTTTAATGTCTATCTCTGGTCAAGTTGGTAGGCAAGGCTTGACAGTAAGATTTGTTTCGTGATTACCATTGCTTACGCCATGTGGCGGCTTCCGGTGTTCATTGGGCATCAGGCATACCTGGCTAACCCCTTACGGAGTACAGCTTTAGGTTATCCCTCTGGACATATTCGCCATGACCTATAGCTCCTTTGGTGATGATGCAGATCAACCTCGGAACGATGGCCCCACTCCTGGTTACTTCGGTAGAACACCCGAGACCTCGTGTTTCCCCAGCCCTGCCCCGTATCGTGCCACGGGTGAGCCACAGTCGGATCAAATCAATTTTCTACCGTTCGCCGAATGGGAAGAGGGTGGCGAATACGATGAAGAGCCTCCGCAATACGTCTGCTACACAATCGAATAGAAGCTTATACTCAACCGCAAGGCGGTAGGTAGAGTGACCGAAGAAAATTTAATTGTAGCCCCTAGCGAGTATTAGGAGGAGACTCTGAAAGCAGGTGTTGAAGACATGATGCAAATGGAAGAGAAACGTCACCAGAGAGTTCGATCTAAAGGCACGGCTATTACGATGAAATCAAACGACCGTGACCACCGGATACCCTTACACCATGGTTCGAAATCAGATTCACCACTTACCCAGAAATTCTTTCTCCAACTCTCTTTTGATAGCTTAGATGTGTTTTAAACGATTGAAGGCTATTGAAATATAACTTGATGGTCACTTGAATAAGTTCTTCGAAATATCCCGACTATGAATACGCCGACCGCTGCCATCACGGTCTTGATGCCTGCTAGAATGGTAACAGTAAGCTCTTTCGCACGCCCTATACAAAGTCCGCTATGATCGGCATTTGTTGAACTACATCACGAAACTAGGTCCACAGCGTAAGAAATAGACAGTATATTGAACAAAACCTGCGTATCTACCTACCAATATCCAGCATCTCTGTTTCCCACTGCAGCAGAGTTTGAGAACTAGACATGGTATGGTAATGTATGGGCCCAAGTATTTGTTTCTGCTTGGCCAGGCAATCTCGCAGTAACTCGAGAGCTTGAACATTATATCCGGAAGATTTCCAGATAAAAGCGAGGTTGGCCATACTCGTCAGCGTGTCGGGATGGTCCACGCCAAGCTTATTCTTACTCATCTCCATGACCTGCACGAAGAGCTGTGCCGCCTCCTCCCCTCGGCCCTGCTTCCGATATGTCGATGCTAGGTTGGTCATACTCCTTAGCGTGTCGGGATGGTCCACACCGAGCTTCGTCTTGCTCATCTCCATGACATGCACCTCGAGCTGTTCCGCCTCCTCCCACCGGCCCTGATTCGAATACGTCGCTGCCAGGTTGGCTATACTCCTTAACGTGTCGGGATGGCCCACGCCAAGCTTGATCTTACGCATCTCCATGACCTGCACGAAGAGCTGTCCCGCCTCCTCCCATCGGCCCTGGTTCCAATATGTCGCTGCTTGGTTGGCCATGCTCGTCAGCGTGTCGGGGTGGTTTACGCCGAGCTTCGTCTTGCTCGTCTCCATGACCTGCACCTCGAGCTGTTCCGCCTCCTCCCATCGGCCCTGGTTCCAATATGTCGCTGCTTGGTTGGCCATGCTCGTCAGCGTGTCGGGGTGGTTTACGCCGAGCTTCGTCTTGCTCGTCTCCATGACCTGCACCTCGAGCTGTTCCGCCTCCTCCCATCGGCCCTGGTTCCAATATGTCGCTGCTTGGTTGGCCATGCTCGTCAGCGTGTCGGGGTGGTTTACGCCGAGCTTCGTCTTGCTCGTCTCCATGACCTGCACCTCGAGCTGTTCCGCCTCCTCCCATCGGCCCTGGTTCCAATATGTCGCTGCTTGGTTGGCCATGCTCGTCAGCGTGTCGGGGTGGTTTACGCCGAGCTTCGTCTTGCTCGTCTCCATGACCTGCACCTCGAGCTGTTCCGCCTCCTCCCATCGGCCCTGGTTCCAATATGTCGCTGCTTGGTTGGCCATGCTCGTCAGCGTGTCGGGGTGGTTTACGCCGAGCTTCGTCTTGCTCGTCTCCATGACCTGCACCTCGAGCTGTTCCGCCTCCTCCCATCGGCCCTGGTTCCAATATGTCGCTGCTTGGTTGGCCATGCTCGTCAGCGTGTCGGGGTGGTTTACGCCGAGCTTCGTCTTGCTCGTCTCCATGACCTGCACCTCGAGCTGTTCCGCCTCCTCCCATCGGCCCTGGTTCCAATATGTCGCTGCTTGGTTGGCCATGCTCGTCAGCGTGTCGGGGTGGTTTACGCCGAGCTTCGTCTTGCTCGTCTCCATGACCTGCATCTCGAGCTGTTCCGCCTCCTCCCACCGGCCCTGGTTCGAATACGTCGCTGCCAGGCTGGCCATACTCGTCAGCGTGTCGGGGTGGTCCACGCCGAGCTTTGTCTTGCTCGTCTCTATGACCTGCACGAAGAGCTGTTCCGCCTCCTCCTATTGGCCCTGATTCCGATATGTCGATGCTAGGTTGGCCATACTCGTCAGCGTAGAGGGATGGTCCACGCCGAGCTTCCTCTTGCGAGTCTCTATGACCTGTACGTCGAGCTGCTCCGCCTCCTCCCAGAGGCCCTCTAGTGAATAGCCTTCAGCTAATATCGCAGTACTCGCAAGGGCATCTTCATGATCCGCACCGAGCAATTTCACTCTATACTTACGCGATTTCGATGCCATTTCCCTCACCTCCGCGATTCTCCCACTCTCTGACGCATACCATGCGCCTCTATAAAGTAGCGTAGCCTATCTTAATAGAGACTCTCGTGATTCTGGTCGTTGATATATCGCTGACCGCACGTGAGGATAGAGAGACCGGCACTTCTCCCAATTTTCATATCGACCCGTAGGGAACTCTCCGGATATATTACTGATATACCTTTCCTTCCATCGTTCAGTTTCTCTATGAGATTTTAGCCATGCGCGAGTAGTCAGTTGCACTAGTCGATGCATAGTAAAGGAAGTGCCATTCTCGCTAATAGATATGAATGAATAATTCCGTAAAGTAGTGACATCATCTTTAAATTCCGGATTCCCGTCGGGTTCAGATGTCTCTCCATCACTGGAATCGTCGAAGAGTTCTGTTCTTGGGATGTAGGTGCTAGCCGGTGGCTGGCCGCGGATAACGCTCTCCGGTATCCCTTGTCGATCGAAAAAGCTCATAAGAGAAAGTAGTTCCGCTGCTGATGGCTTTTCGTGGCGAATAAAATCGAACGATATTTGCTAAGTCACTAGTATTGAGTTCTTCGCTTCCTAATCCCGGTTAAGGTGACCCGACTCTTCTCTGAGAAGCTTTATCGCTTTACGGTTACTCTTCCGAAAGTCTCTTAGGTATTGTGATAACGAATAGCGAGGCGCCCGATTTCGAATGAAGCCCGCGGCCTGGGCTATCGTAAGCGGCATAAATTCGAGCTCTTCTACTAAGTGTTGGCTTTCCTGGCTTTCCTCGGATTGATTAAGCGTCTTCTGAAGAAGCTCTAGTGCCTCAGACCTTAGCATCGGGTTAACTTTAATGAGGTCCTTGTGCTTGACTATCTTGAGCGCAACCTCTCTGCTTCGGCTTGTGATAATTATAGATCCATTCCGGTATCTAGGAATGTATTCTAATAGAGGTTTCGTCGAGGCATTTGGTGGCTCTGTTATTGAAACACCCTTTTCTGCTGTCGGAAGCGAGCAAAGGAACTTGTTATTATCTATATTATTAAGGATACAAATCTATTTCCCCCGGTTCTCATCCCGCAGCCAGTTTTCGACCAGTTTGAATATGTTCGCTTTGGGATCCTGACGACTTGGGATCTTGAGCTGGTCTGCGATGTCCCAGAAACTTTGCTCGAACCGGGCCTTATTGCTTGCGTGGACCCAAAGAACCTATATCTCTGGTGACTCTGATCGGATCTGGTACGAGTATTCGATGGTAAGTTGCGACTTCCTGTCACTTGTGAGTGGCGGGCCACGAGCTAGTCACTTCACACTTACCCGACACCTCCTAGGCCGACCAGGGCTATTCTTGACCCTGGGATCGAGCATTTCTCGTAAATCGACTGGAGCAGGGTGTTACGACAGACAAAATCTGGATCGCGTGCGAATGGGACGGTTGATAAAGGGTTCGGGAGAGATTCTAGTCGCTCTGAAGGGCAGCGGCTATTAGTCAGGCGCGTCTTAATCTTGGTCGGGTGGTTTGTCTTACCCGGAGGTAGATTAATTTCAGCGTGGATCGAGCCACAGTTATGTCCAACCTGGAATCCACGATTGTTGTCCCCAAATGATATCGGTGTCATGATGGCTTAAAGTGCCTTGTGTGTGGTTCATCATAAGTATTCTTGCTCGACTCCCACGAGCTGAAAGAGGGGCACTCCTTAGCGTCATCATCATGTGACTACAAAGCGCTAAACCAGGAAATTATCTGGGCCTTTCAGCCCTTGTCGAACATGTGTCAATGGGGTCAGGTGGGACCAGTGTCGTTCCCAGCAACGGATCGACCCGACCGAGAACATTCGACCACAACTCTCCAGTTACAAGGCTTGGGTCTCATGAACCGGAGAGGCTACTGCTTCCCTGCGATTTTAAGCGCACATTCTAAGAGCCATAAGATTACAGTGTATGGTCGATATAAACCAAAAACGACGCGCCAGTCTTTTCAACCACCCTTTTTGAAGGATCGCGGATTTGAGAGAGGCCACGAATCTCCCTAAACCCTAAAGCCTTTATCCACCATGATATTTACCCGAAGAATTTGCTTGTTGTATCCGGCACAAGGATTGTATGGGTTGATTTTGATGTTGCGACAACATTCAGCAGTATGGGCCCTTGCGAGAAGGCATAGTGCGATTATGAAACTGAACTCGTGGAAAGGTTTGGAAAGCTTCTGGTATGTGTAATTCCTTTACTTAGACATCATTATAGAAACTAAAGAAATACCCATCAGAACGACGATAATAGACAGGGTCTCCCACCCAATACAAAGTATTACTAATTAAACAGCCACAAACACGAACAACAGAACTGGCACTATGTTAGAACGGGAAACGGGTATGGCACAGACGCGACGCTCTTAAGTACGACAGTCAATCATATCTTCGCCATTGTTATACAGTACCTGAATGTCGGAAGTGGCCTTCGGCGCTCTTCCGTTTTACACCAACAACTTACGCACCGCCGAAGGAAGGTATGAAACCCTTAGCCAGGGTTGTCTTCGTATGCTAACTAAGCCTTCTTAATATAGGCCTTTAGCTCGGCAAAGAATTCCTCGATGTGGTTGAAATCCGGCGAATACGGTGGCAGATACAGTAATTTGACTCCCGCGTCAGCACATAAGGTCTTGATCCGGTCTGAATGATAGAAAGATGCGTTATCCATAACAAGCACGGATTTTGGCTCCGGCCACCTCCCATAGTGCTGGAGAAGCTGCTCGATAAACGATTCGAAGAACGTGGCATCCGTTGAACCTTTGAAAATACGAGACAGAATAATACCGTCTTGGGCATACGCAGGCAGTATGTGGAAGCGTTGGCCGCGATGAAATTTTGACACTTGGACCGGTGTCACCCCGAGTGGTGACTAGCCAGTTCGCCTATACCCAAGCCTTTTATCACATCCAAGTTCATCAACAAATACCAGATGAAATGACCGAAAATCAGAGAGTTTATGCTGGTAGAAATCTCGTAGTTGAGGGTTATGTTCTTTGGCTTTCTGTTGTGCTTTCTTTTTTGTCCAGCCAGCGTGGGGAAGAGCACGCTTGATGCTAGATGACGATTGTAATATTTTGAACTCATCCCATAGGAAGATAGCCATCTCTTCGATGTATAGGACAGGCTTTTCGGCGAGGTGGTCACAGAGGGCGTTAAGCATGACAGGGGCTATGCTTGGTTGTCGACCGACCGAAATTGGGGAAGATCTGGCACTACCGAATAACCGCAAGTTCTTGCGCATGTTAGTGATAAAGCGCTCACTACACTGCGCTACCCTTGCCATTTGCGATGTAGTGAGTCTGTTCTTGCAGCATATCATATGAATAATCATCTTACGCTGCCAGGATTCGATGTTTCTAGCCAATTCATAGGGGGGTTGGGTGGCAGTTGCTAGGATGGGAGATGCAGTTGCTAGGTCGGGAGGGGTGTTGAACGATCGACGCCATGGTGAGTAGGGTGGTTATTTTTGGATATGGATTAGGGGTTATTTTTGGACATGTAGCAGTACATGACTATACAGTTTTATATTTTCATTCTTGGTACTGTGTAAACTGGAACAAATTTTTAATTACGAACTTATCCATATAAGGCTTAGCGTACCATGTGATTGGGGTTTGAAAGAGCATCTCAGTGTTTCCGGATATGGAAGGCAATAACGGTCGGCACTGTATCAACCAACCAACCAACCGACTGTAGTAGAATGCTAGATGGTGGAGTTTGAATCGGGAGATGGACCCGAAATAGTGCAGTGTATCATTATCTGTAGTTTGTAGTTAAAAAAACCTTTTACGTAGAGTTATGTATAAGTTCTGAAGCTATCAGCGGATTGTCAATATATCCTTCAGTGACCCAGAGAAGATGAGCCAGAAAGAGTTACGTTATATCGAAGCTACCTTAACATGCAAAAATGGGGCTACAACTTAATCAATATACATATCAATTTGGCATTATCAGATGGGAATATAATGCAGTGGCAAGGCAAAGTAAAGGCTATTTCAATGTGCAGATGAAAATAAGCAAGGAAAAGATCAGTTGATTACAGATGTTTCAGGCTCTGTGGTAGGGCTCCGTGCACCATGTAGATCATCTTCAGCATCTTTCATTCTGGGGGAGGGAAAGGTGGGCTTATCTCCTGTGAGCACTTCCTGGTATTCACTCTCTTGCGATGTTGCTAAAAAGTAGATTATGATATCAACTTCGTAAGGATCAAGGTCATCCATGATAGATCGAAAGCTTTCACGGGATTCCCATGTCCAATTGCCGTCTACCCAGTGAACCCAAACAAATGTTTTTGGATAAACCCCTTTCTTTGTCGGATACAAACCAGTTGCAGTATAAGAAACTGCTGTGTCTTTGACCTCCCATGCGACCAATCCGACTCCGATCACCTGCTTCGCAGTCCAATCGCCAATACCACCACGAGGCAGGGGATCTGGCTCAGCATCAATCCTTTCAAGTTCATTTTTTGCGGCAAGTTTTACCCGGGCAATTTGTTTCCCACGGCACTCATAACCAAGTATAAGCAGTGCGCCGTTCTTTTCACTCTCCCTCCGCCCTAGAATAGATCCTGAGCTGAGCAGGATGCCATACCTCTCTTGGGCATTTCGCCTAATGGTGGTCAAAGATGTAGCCCCTTTCCATTTGGAAGGATCACCCCTTTCGCAGACGTTGCAACCCCTGTTACCGGTCGTCGAGGAACGTGATCCAAGGGCCCCGCGAGTCATAGTGCTGTTATCAACAACATCTTCCGATAAACCCTCGGGATGGGGCTCATCCATATAAATAGCTTCATTGTTTGGGATGTTGGTATTTTCATGATCTCTACCATCCTCTCGATAGGACCCGTCGTCCTCAACATCATCTTGGTAGGATCCCTCGTCTTGATAGGACCCCTCGTCTTGGTAGGACCCCTCATCCGGGTACGACGCATCGTCGCCGTAGGAGGCGTCAACCTGATATGCCTTATAGTCTGCCATTTCGCCGGATGTTTCCTCATGGACCGAGCGTTTGTTTTGTTGGCCGTTTGAAGGATCGCCCCCAGTAAAGAAATAGTGATAGTCGAGAAACTGGTCCCACTCAATTTTCCATCCCAGCGGCCAATTATTTTCACTGATAGATTTGTGAAGTCTAGCCGCCGCATCCTTGAAGGGCTTGGTGTCACTGGACTGCAGAAAGGCTAGAGATGCACCTTCTAGACGCTCTGCGGTCGCCTCAAAAACGGAAACGTTAATTAATCCAGTTGACCCTAGTATATTGGCTTGTCGGTTCTTTGCTCTAATTTGCGAATTCAAGCTCTCAAGCTGCTTAGCAGCTTGGGGTTGCTCTCCCGGTTTACTCCAAAGGATAGAAGTAATAAGAGGTGTCGCCGTATTATATTCTTCCTTATATGCATGACTGGATATTTTAGTCTGTGGTTTAAGGTCACGAAAAATAGACATAATTTCGAAGAAGACGGATAGTCGAACTTCACCGTCTGAGGAACATGCCTTCTCTTAAATCTTACACGCAGCATCCTAATGTCGAAAGGCTCTTTTCTAAAATTTACATTTAAAATTGCACATTTTCGCAAGAGAGGTATTTCTACACTTAGGCATTTATACTCAGGCGCTTGCGTGCGGATACTAAGAATAGATCTGTTTGGTGATTCGCCCGGCTTGACCTACGCTATCGTCCTAGCATTTCAGTAGGATCCACCGCCCTTCGAGAATAAGTAATCTCTTTGTTTCCTTCTAGCCCACAGCTAATGTGACTTTATGCTCCTACAGAGTACTAGATCATTTCTTCTTTAATACAGTACGTCGCGAAACCGATGCAACAACTCCACTCTCCGATGGACTTTCCTGCCCCTCGCGCCAAGACACACTAGTCTGTACTCCGTATTTAGAGTTCTTCCGGGAGTTGCGCATTATTCGTTCGTTCGTAGGTTACTTAATAATTTCAGGCATGTATTCACTTATAAATTCAATACATCTGATACCTCCATGCCCCTCCCCCGATGCAGCTTTCCTCGGGGGGTACTATTTCACTATCGATCACCAGTGGTCCAACCAACGATGGCTCCAAACCTAGCTCCTTCTAAGCATGAGCTTATCTACAGTATGACATGATCCACAGTGGCAAACTATCTATAACTGAGATGGCACAGACCGCTGGTTGCAACAAGAGCACCATCTCGAGAATTTCGTCCAATAAGAATGTTTTGCAGCGTCAAAGCACCGCCAATTAAAGGCGGGCGACCCCGTAATATCACTGCATTCATGCTCGAGGCTTTGTGCGACCATCTGATTGAAAAGCCTGTCCTATATTTGGACGATCTGGCTGTTTTTTTGTGGGATAATTCGCACTTCAACTAACGAAACGAGCATCAGTCGCGCCCTTAAGTCCAAAGGCTGGTCGAAAAAGACTGCTCGGGTCAAGGCCCGAGAACGCAACCTCGATCTTCGGGACGAATATCATCATTTTATTTCAGAATTCAAGTCTTACCACCTTGTCTATGTCGATAAATCTGGCTGTGGTAAAAGGATAGGCTTCAGGCGAACGGGTTGGTCCCCACTCGGTACCGCGCCGGTTCAAGTATCGAAGTTTCGTCGTGATCAGCGTTATCACATTCTGCCTGCGTATGCGCACGATGGCATTGTTTTGTCTCGAGTGTTACAAGGATCATCTGACACATCCGTCTTTGAGGATTTTATCGAGCAGCTTCTCCAGCACTGTGGGAAATGTGTGACAACATTCGGGCGTTGACAACCCGTATCTAACATGACACAACCCCCAGCTGTCAATCTGTCATCTATCCTAACTCCCATCTCTACCGGATTCCCACCTGTGTGGCTTGCTAGATCGTCACACCCCTCAGTATTGACAGCAAGCTACGTCGATCAATGTCAAAGCTCAAAACTTGACCATTTTGAAATCCAATAGTCAGTTGATCATGTTGCGCATCATGACAATTTGGCTGGAAACCTGATGGTAGCCGGAAAAAGGGCATCCCTCTATAGCATATCCACTGATTTCTGACGTATAGATCCTTTGATGAATCACAATCCGTGTCTTTCCTGTCTGCAGGGGTGTTCTCCAGCATTATTGGTCCTATGTCTGTCGCAAGGTATCGATTACCTGATGAGAATTTTATGGCATATACTGGCTCCGGTGTCTCAAACTCCTTCCAGGATCGGAACTTGAAACGACCAACAAAAGTGTGTCCAAGATATTTTGAGTTTTTCATATATTTGGCAATGTCCCAAAGCCTGACGGTCATATCAGCAGAGCTTGATGCAATCTGCTTGCCGTCTGATGAAAATGCCACGGTAATGATCCATTGTGAATGGCCTGCCAGTGTCGTCTGAAGGTCACCTGTGGCGGTGTCCCAAAGCATGATGGTTTTGTCATAACACCCTGCTGCAATCTGCTTGCCGTCTGGTGAGAAAGCCATGGTCTCAACATCGTAGTGGATTAATGACTTCTGAAGGTCACCCGTGGCGGCATCCCAAAGCTTGATCCTGCCGTCATCGGAGGCAGATGCGATCTGCTTGCCATCTGGTGAAAAGGCCACGACACGGATCGATTGAGAATGGCCTGCCAGTGTCGTCTGAAGGTCACCTGTGGCGGTGTCCCAAAGCATGATGGTTTTGTCATAACACCCTGCTGCAATCTGCTTGCCGTCTGGTGAGAAAGCCATGGTCTCAACATCGTAGTGGATTAATGACTTCTGAAGGTCACCCGTGGCGGCATCCCAAAGCTTGATCCTGCCGTCATCGGAGGCAGATGCGATCTGCTTGCCATCTGGTGAAAAGGCCACGACACGGATCGATTGAGAATGGCCTGCCAGTGTCGTCTGAAGGTCACCTGTGGCGGTGTCCCAAAGCATGATGGATTTCTCAGCAGACCCTGATGCAATCTGCTTGCCGTCTGGTGAAAAGACCACGGTATTGATCATTTTAGAGTGACCTAATGTCTTCTGGAGGTCGCCTGTGGCGGCGTCCCAAAGCATGATGGTTTTGTCATCAGACCCTGATGCAATTGATGCAATCTGCTTGCCGTCTGGTGAGAAGACCACAGTCCTGACCGAGTCTGAGTGACCCACCGGACCTACCGGTGACTTCTGAAGATCACCTATAGAAATGTCCCAAAGCCTGATGGTCATGTCAGCAGAGCCTAATGCGATCTGCTTGCCGTTGGGTGAGAAAGCCACGGTTTGTGTTGAGTAGCCTTCTAATGTCTTCAGAAGTTCACCTGTGGTGGCATTCCAAAGATTGACGGTGCCCGCAGAGCCAGATACAAACTGCTTGACGGTGTCCGCGGAGATAGATGCAACCTGCTTGCCGTCTGGTGAAAAGGCCACGGTATTGATCCATTTTGAACGGCCTGTCAGTGTCCTCTGAAGGTCACCTGTGGCGGCGTCCCAAAGCTTGATGGTATCCCAAAAGACTGTTGCGATCTGCTTGCCGTCTGGTGATAAGGTCACTGCCTTGGACCTAATAGAGTAGTCAACCAGAGGCTTCTGGAGGTCAACTGCGGTGGCATCCCAAAGCTTGATGGCTCCAGCGGTGGCTCCAGCGGAGCCAGATGCAATCCGCTTACCGTCTAGTGAAAAGGCCACGGTTTTGATCGAACCAGAGTGGCCTGCAAGGGTCTTCTTAACGTGTCCTCTGGTGGCATCCCAAAGCTTGACAGTCATGTCATCAGAGCCTGATGCAATCTGCTTGCCGTCTGGTGAAAAGGCCACGATATTTACCCTTTTTGAGTGGCCTGCCAGTATTAGGAGCAAAGACTCCCAGGCGCCTTCCATGGGAGGCATTTTTATTAGCTTTGCGGGAATTTTGTCTTTGTATTCCCTCCTTATAATGCTTGATTCAGGACTAAAAATGACCGCAGAGCTATATATCTGCAATGGCCAATTTACTAGAGTGTGGTAATGATGTAACAAAAACTGTGTAGCATCATGCACGAGTGCCAATACCAAAGGACTGTTCTTTAAAATCTTGTCAGCAAAGATTCTGTACATTAAAAAAATATCCAATACTAACCTTTGCTATATTTGCCAGTGTTTTCAATGCTTCGTGGGCCCGTGGTAGCTTGTCTAACAGACAAAGGCATTCTAGCCATTCCAAAAACTTTGTGTGGAGGAATGTATTAACTGCACCATTTCCGCTGAACCAGCTCTGCAACAGTATGGTTTGCTTCGTGTTGCTAAGATGTCGCACCCAGAAGCTAGCTGCATAGTCCACACGAGACAGTAAGGCGCTTCTTCTTATGACATCCAGCGAATTCAAAGACCTTCTGGCTGAGCTAGGTCGGGGTAGGTCAACGAGATTGACCTTGAGCCATTTGGTTAAATGGGATAGACAACAAAGAACAACGTCATCATGTCCAAATCGTTCATGCGAGTCAAGTATAAGTTGACCATTTTCCCCAGCCAAGTAGTCTCGAGCAGATTGATGAATAAATTCGATATTGTTTTCCCGCGTCCTGATGAATGAGACACAGCGACTGACTAACGCTTTGATATCGTCCTTTTCATCAGTCAAGCCAGCCAGACTAGGAACTTCCTCCACCTTCAGGGGTCGGTATGCCAACACCATCAACTTAAGCAATCGCATGCATTTCTGTACATCATCTGCTTCGCCCTGGCTGAGTTGATTCAATATCCGATCGTAGAGAGGATGCAGACCCGGCGGCAAGTTTTGAATAGTGGTCAAGACCTCATCTCGGCAGACATTCTCGAGTCTCTTGCATACCAAGCTCACCCATAAAAAGGTGCCCTCAGCCTTTTCAGTAAGCTCAGTTTCTACCTCTGTCTTTAGTTTTTCTCCATATCTGTGGCGCAGACTGAGCTCATCCACTTTATGAGCGATATAAGCCTTTACAGATTCAGAAACTTCTTTCGAGTTGAGCTCTAGGCTGACTTGCACCTGGTCATGTCCAGCCAACAATACCCGCTCTGCATTGTCGAATGGTCGACTTGTCAAGAGCCATTTTATTTTGGCGGGATGGTCCAGTCCAGTTCGGACCATGAGGTTCAAGAAGTCAGCCATGCCAGCATCCTGGCATTCATCAAGTGCATCCACAATCACGTATACCCTCGAGCAGTTACACCGGTCTAACATCTCCAAAAGGATGTTCCATAGAGTTCGCCATGATGTAACGTCCTCATTAAAACAATCTTTCTCAGTATCCCAGCGGCGTCGCAGGGATTCCTTGAGCCTGATTTCCTGGCTCACTACTTGCAGAATCACACCCTTAATGATTGCTTCAAGGGTGTTGAGGTCATTGTCGGCATTTTGGCAGAAGAAATAAGTCACCAGAGTAGATTCGTGTTGTGCCCGAGAGATCTCCTCCATAAGACCAATCGAAATCATGGTCTTACCTTTGCCAGCTCCACCCTTGATCCAGAGCAAAGAGACATCGTCCCCATTTTGCCATTTCTTATACTGCGGATCTTGAAGAATCCATTTGATTGACTGGGGAATTAACTTGTCCTTATTTTCTTTCAAGCGATTTTTTACAACCCGTGAGTCGGGGCAACGTAGATCGCGGAGGCAAAATCTATCAATGTCCTCGGTGGTATGCGCTATGAACAGCGTAAGCTTCATCATATATTCGGATACTGGATCAACACTTACACGAAAGATTAAATTCTGCCGTAATCGAACCTTGGTTGTTTCCAACCTGGAGTCCATGGTTCGTGCCAGTATAACTAGTCGATGCCATCATCAAAGCAATACAGGATGCTGTGGTTTGTCGGAGGGGAAGTTGCGCGTCACTCAGCTAAATGAGGGGCACCCTCGTACAGCAGTGGGAGAACTGCCCTCGCCAAGAACTGCCCTGTCCGGATCAATACATTTCCCGCAATCAGATGGTTGCACAAAGCCTCGAGCATGAATGCAGTGATATTACGGGGTCGCCCGCCTTTAATTGGCGGTGCTTTGACGCTGCCAAACATTCTTATTGGACGAAATTCTCGAGATGGTGCCCTTGTTGCAACCAGCGGCCTGTGCCATCTCAGTTATAGATAGTTTGCCACTGTGGATCATGTCATAGATAAGCTTATACTTAGAAGGAGCTAGGTTTGGAGCCATCGTTGGTTGGACCACTCATGATCGATAGTGAATAGTGCCCCCCGAGGAAAGCTGCATCGGAGGAGGGGCATAGAGGGATTAGATATATTGAATTTACAAGTGAATACGTGCCTGAAATTATTAAGTAAAATAATGCGCAACTCCCGGAAGAACTCCAAATACGGAGTACAGACTAGTGTGTCTTGGCGCGAGGGGCAGGAAAGTCCATCGGAGAGTGGAGTTGTTGCACCGGTTTCGCGACGTACTGTATATTGGGGATGTTAATTCAAACTTTACGTTTGGCTAATAAGATTATAATGCGGTTTTCCCTCTTAATTATTTCATTAGTTTCAAAAAGCAGGTCTGGGTTGTTTAATTTAAGTATATTTTTGCTCGCACAGAATATGAATAGATCTAAGGAGATAAAAATAATTTTCAATAAAACAATACATAGTCTAACCACAAAGCAAATTAATTATCTGTATGAAACCTTGTTCCGATGCGAGTACCAACACCGGCTTAACCTTACTGGCGGATATTAGGACGCCTGGCTTGTCTATGTGGATTTTGACGCTGCCCTCGACGGTTATTGCCTGTACGGGCTGACGAGCGATTTTGAGTGTCTCGTGGTTGTGCTACGGACACGGACGAGGACTGTGGACTTGTCGGATAGACCCTATTACCCTGTCCTAAAGGAAGTTGATTACTCCGTCCCGGAGTACCTCGCTGGGAGCCTAATGTCGGCTGTCTCGGCGTGTCTCCCTGGGACCCTAATGCTAGCTTATTCAGCGTACCTCGTGGCGTGCCTCGCTGCGACCCTGATGTAGGTTAGGATCCCGATGGCGGTCGATTTGGTGTAACTCGCTGGGAGCCTGATTGGGCTTGAGTCGGTGTGGCTTGTTGAGATCCTTGTGCTGATTTAGGCGTACCTCGTGGCGTGCCTCGCTGCGACCCTGATGTAGGTCGAATCGGCGTTCTCCCTTGGGAGTCTGATGGCGGTTGGCTTGGTGTAACTCGTTGGGAGCCTGACGTCGGCTGTCTCGGCGTGGCTTGCTGGGATCCTGATACTAGTTCATTCAGCGTACCTTGTGGCGTGCCTCGCCGCGACCCTGATGTAGGTCGGATCGGCGTACTTCCCTAGGACCCTGAAGCCCCTCTGCTGCCTCGCAATAGGGTTACGGATGGTGGACGACTTGGAGTGTTCACCCTGGATCCTGATACCGATCGACTTCCTCTTACAGAAGTACTTTGTTAGGACCTATTAGCAGTATAAAACTCTTTATCTTGGCTTGGCGTGCTTCCCTGGGACCGTAACGGCCGCCGGCTTAGTGTACTTCGATAGGAGTCCGAACCTCGACTGCCTCTTATTGGAGTCACGGATGGTAGACGACTTAGAGTGTTTGCCCGGGATCCTGATGCCGTTCGGCTTCCTCTTATAGAGGTGTTTTGTTAGGACCTATAAGCAGTATTAAACTCTTTATCTTGACTCGGCGTGCTTCCCTGGGGCGCCGATGGCGGTTGGCGTAGTGTACCTTGCCGGGAGACTAATATCGGCTGCCTCGGTGTGTTTCCCCGGGATCCTGATCGTAGTCTATTCGGTGTACCTCGCTGTAACTCTGATGAAGGTCTACTTGGTGTGCTTTCTAGGGTCGACCTTAATATCGATTGGCTTGGCGTACCTCGCTGCGAGCCTAATCTCGGCTGCCTCGGCGTGTTCCTATGGGACCTTAACGGCCGCCGGCTTAGCGTATCCCGTATTAGCGTCTCTGTTTGTGGACTACTTGATGTGTTCCCCCGGAACTCTAATACGGTTCGACTCCCTCGTGCCGATATATCTAGTTAGGACCCGTTAATAGCCCTCGCTAGTCGGTTTCTATACCGATTATTAAAGGTATCGGGAGTATACGGAGTATGAAACTCCTTATCTTTGTTAATTAAGGAGAGTCTTCGAGGTCTACTTCCGCTAGGATTAGCTAATCCTTCTCGCGATGCCGTAGGTGTTATATAAGGGGGCGGTGCCTCCCTATAACCCCCTAGCCTAGATGCCTACTAGGGGGTACGTGACTCGGAGTCGTGGTTTTCCTATAGATCGTTCTCGGCGTTATGTTTAAACTCCTCTCCTTCAATATCCTCGTCTATATCGACGTCCTCCTCTATAGATACTTCTTCCTCTTCACTCACTTCTTCCTCCTTATTTATATTTTCTTCTTTATTCACTGGCACTTCCTCTATTCTCACTACCCTTAATTATTATCTTATACGAGGCTGCTTCTAGTATGCCCCTTAAAAGGAATTTACATTCCTCTAATGCTGATTAGGCGTCACAGTCGGGTTAGAGTACTCCGGCCGTGTACCCGTGAGAGCCTCTTAGTAGTCACCATCCTAGCTAATAGCGAGTCTGTAGATAGTAATGTCCGTTTTATAGTTTTTGCTTCCCATAATAAATCGTAAACAGTCACGTGACTCCTACGTATATATATTATCGCATTAGATAACGCTAATATATATTTCTAGGTACCATACCTTATTCATTAGGATAAGCACGGAGGTTAGGCTATATACGTATATTAGCTCCACCCGCCACGTAACTATACCCATACTAGTGATATAGTCTTATGACTAGTATTCATTAGTCCCGGGTATCTTTTTCTTTCCTCTACATATCGCAGAAATATAAGCATGGCCGCCTTCGCTAGTGTCTACCCGGCGCCTAGCGGCTACCTCTAGTCTCCTAATACTCTTCCTATTCTATCTATAACCGACAATCACAGACTTACCAGTGTTATTGCCTCGCTATGCTAAAACCGTGCCTCCGCCAATAAAAGCACTATACTCTTGCGCAGTAGTTTACTAAAATGTTTAGATATTAACGTAAGGATTCCACCAGCCGGAATCTTTATGGTCTAGGGGTGAAGATACGGCTAATGTATATCCGTCATCGTAATCGGCTGTATTTTCTGCTTCTACACCATCTCTTTAAATATCTTCTTTAGCATCGAAGTCTTCCTCTATATAATTGAGTTCCTCCTGGTTGATATGATCTAGTGCTTCTTTAACATTGTCGTGTTCTGGACCTTCTAATTGTCCTTCAGAAGAAGACATGGTTCTTATTTTTGAATTTGTTTATGGAAAAAAAACGTACAATGGATTAAGAGAGCTAAACCAGGCTTCTTTTATAGTATAAACCGAAGTGGGTTTACTAAAACCTATTCTCGTTAGTGTGAAACTGCACTGTTTGCAAATATAGGAAATGTGCAATTTGGTTGCGTAAATTTCCATAATCAGAATCTTATTTACGCGTCCTAGATATAAGTACTAATACCCTTAATAATTTAATATTGGTCTTATTCGTCTATGCTTTAGTAGACCTTTTAGTAGGAACTTTCTATTTATAGTAATTCTACCTCTTATTTATCTACCACCCCTATAGGGCCTCCGCCTTCGCCATTATACTAGACTAGGCCTCTGCATGGTGCGGTCTTGGTCCTTAGGTCGAGGACCGCGGACCGGACCGCACGGTCTTGCGGTCTCGAATTCGGGGGTTAAGACCGCACTATAGTGAACCGCGGTCCCTTACGGTCTTCACCACGGTGAACCGCAATTATATAATTCTACTAAGACCTTCCCTTTTCGGCTACATAAATTAATGATCTATCCAATTTAATTACTATTATTTAACACTGTTTTAGTCTCTTAATAAACATTTACTATATTTCAGAATAAGCCACTATGAAAACATATGAAATATACTCGTATATAGAAAATCTACTATTTAAAATACCTAGACCTACTAGTACTAGTATATTTCTAAGTTCTAATAGGGAGGTTTAGTAATAATTATTGCTAGCTAGGTGTTTAAGGTAAGAAATATATATTTCGATATTAGTACCTAACCCTATCTTTATCTAAGACTTCTTCGTTAAGTATATATAACCCCCTATATATAGCTAAAATAGGTATTAAAGGTATTACTAGAGAGCTTAGATTCTCTAGTTAAACTATTTATCTTAAAATTCTATATTCTACTACTAATATATTCTAATAATCTCTTTTCAAAATTGGTTTCTCTGATATAAAGTGTAGACTTAGGAAGAAAAGGAGGATTATACTATTATATAGGCCTTCTAGCGGTCCTTTTCGGTCCTATACGGTCCTCCTTATAGTTCTTTACGGTCTTCTGCGGTCTTTATAGCCCTCTATATGGTCTATTGCGGTTTTCCTACGGTTCTATATAGTCTTCTACGGTCTTCGTAGCCCTTATCCTATCGGATCGTAGTAGAGTAGAGCCTACTACCTAATCACTATTATAATTTAATTTAATCTATCTAAATTATGCTTATACAGTAGCTTTCTCCTAGAGAAAATCCTTTATTCAGCTTTTTCTAGTAGACGGAAATATTTTAGTAGGTATCTCCTTAAGTCCTTTACCTCCCCCCGTCCTATCTAATACTTATTTCGTTAAAATATTATAGAGTTAGGCCTCCTCTTAGTTCTCTAATCGGTATCCCTCATCGGCTTTTAAGGATAATCCACGAGATACTTTCTCCTTCCTTATATCTAATAGGCTATTTAACCTCGACGGGCGCGAAACGCTAACTTCTACTCCTAACGTAAACTTACTCCGACCGGCAATTCCTCCTATTATCCCAGAAACACTCGAACGCGTTAGTCCTCCTAAAAGAAAAAACTATATCCTTTAG